TCTATGAGCTGTTTCATTAGCAGGTGTAGTGGCAAATCGAGCAACAAGTATGGACGCAAAGTAACGAGGGTAGCTGTTTGTAGAGTTGAATGTGGCACTAGATATGGCCGGGAGGGACAGCAGTGGGATACACAGCAGGAGAATTGCCATCTCTAAAATATCCGGGGTAAACACAGATTAACACACAAGTGGAAAAAATATATATACTTGTAGGCCGAGCGCGAGAAAACGTCTTGCCGCACTCGTCACACAGCAAGTTGGCACAGTCGGGGGCACAGTTGGTGCATCAGCCAGTCGTCTCTGTCGACCTGTGGCATCTGGGTCTGCCCCGTGACCTCCTGCCAGCGGGCGTTCGACACTTCACGTGACCTCAAAGTGCACATAGCCTGGCACAAGCATCGTGGTGATGTCACCGCCGCTTAGTGGCGAATGGCGGTTGTGTTGTGCCTTAATTTAATTTCCTTTGCATTAGAGCAAAAACGCATTCACTGAGTTGTGTTTTATTGTTATACAGTCCTCTACGGTGTAGTGTATCCCATACGGATGTGCAAAAATATTTTTTTCATTAACCAATGTTTACGGAAATGCAAGCTTGAGATTAATGGAGCTTCTTGAGAGATGGAATGTGTTGCATTTCGGAACCGCTAAGGATGATGCTGGATAATAGCGAAAGTTAACTTTTATTGCATGTAAATTTTCGCTTTTACTTAAATCAGATATGAGTGGAGCCCATGCGGTTACTTCTGTTGCAGGAATACTCACAAAACAGACCGTTGATGATGAAAGAAACCCTTATCCTTACTACTACTACTTAGCAACTGTTAAAACCACAAACAGCAAGTTGCCCAGCAACCTGGTCACGCTGCAGAAGATAGGCGTTACTTGCTTGGGGCTGTCACAGTCACAGCTTGTGGCCGTGTTCCCCCTGCGTTGGCCACCATCTGTGTGGTCCAACATCACCACCGAGACCCGCTGGCTTAACCCACTTGTGTGTCCAATCTGCTGCTCAATCGGCCTTTGTGTATTTGATTCTTCCTCGTGGCATTTTACCAAAGACATATCACTGAATTGCTTTAGCCACCGTGATGGCAATGCACTGTTGATCTAATGTTAGCATATACAGTGCTGTGCTAACAATATTTTACAGCCCGTTTCTGGCCACTGCTGAATTAATGGGGCTTGTTTGACCAGCTCATTCTTCACCACGCTGTTCAGTGACAGTTGGTGAATGGGGAGCCCAAGACGGCCAGTGCCAGCAGTCGTTTGGATATCACTCATGACTAATTAATGTTAGCCATGGTCGGGGATCAAACTTAGGTTGTACTGCTCCACGGTGGTCCTGGATTAGGATGTTTGACCATTAATGAGTGTTTTGTGTTCAAAAGTATTGCAGATTTGACTACAGCACCAAGAGGCAGACATGCTTTGCAGGGTTAGCTACTGTAGAATACAAGTACTGTATTGTGCATACAATAATGTACTTGGCAACCCACCTGCCCCATTCACTATTTATACAAAGTGTCCTTGGCTATTCAAGCTGCATGTTTGTAGGGAACAAGTTACATGTCTGCAGGTATTTTTCCATACATAATGATTGTGGTCATTCGAATTCAAGTACAATACAGTTATGTACCATCTTTATAGCATGTACATCAGTAACATTTCTAAACGAATAACAAAATAAGGAAAATATGCATCACCCTAGCATTTTGCAGTATTTGTGCTCATTAATCTTGAGTGTGTCTTGCAGTAAAAAAATCTGCTTAATACAACATTTAAGACAGTATTTTGTATAAGAACAAATAGCATTCAGTCATCGCTGTTAGTAATTAGTAACTCAAGCAATGTATCAGTCAGGGTAGTATGCTGGATGTTCATCATGAAAGTTGTACAGTACTTGCAGTGAAGGAAAAAAGTATTTGATCCCCTGCTGATTTTGTACGTTTGCCCACTGACAAAGAAATGATCAGTCTATCATTTTAATGGTAGGTTTATTTGAACAGTGAGAGACAGAATAACAACAAAAAAATCCAGAAAAACGCATGTCAAAAGTGTTATAAATTGATTTGCATTTTAATGAGGGAAATAAGTATTCGACCCCTCTGCAAAACATGACTTAGTACTTGGTGGCAAAACCCTTGTTGGCAATCACAGAGGTCAGACGTTTCTTGTAGTTGGCCACCAGGTTTGCACACATCTCAGGAGGGATTTTGTCCCACTCCTCTTTGCAGATCTTCAAGTCATTAAGGTTTCGAAGCTGACGTTTGACAACTCGAACCTTCAGCTCCCTCCACAGATTTTCTATGGAATTAAGGTCTGGAGACTGGCTAGGCCACTCCAGAAGCTTAATGTGCTTCTTCTTGAGCCACTCCTTTGTTGCCTTGGCCGTGTGTTTTCAGTCATTGTCATGCTGGAATACCCATCCACGACCCATTTTCAATGCCCTGGCTGAGGGAAGGAGGTTCTCACCCAAGATTTGACGGTATATGGCCCTGTCCATCGTCCCTTTGATGCGGTGAAGTTTTCCTATCCCCTTAGCAGAAAAACACCCCCGAAGCATAATGTTTCCACCTCCATGTTTGACGGTGGGGATGGTGTTCTTGGGGTCATAGGCAGCATTCCTCTTCCAAACACGGCGAGTTGAGTTGATGCCAAAGAGCTCCATTTTGGTCTCATCTGACCACAACACTTTCACCCAGTTGTCCTCTGAATCATTCAGATGTTCATTGGCAAACTTCAGACGGCATGTATATGTGCTTTCTTGAGCAGAGGGACCTTGCGGGCGCTGCAGGATTTCAGTCCTTCACGGCGTAGTGTGTTACCATTTGTTTTCTTGGTGACTGTGGTCCCAGCTGCCTTGAGATCATTGACAAGATCCTCCAGTGTAGTTCTGGGCTGATTCCTTACCGTTCTCATGATCATTGAAACCCCACGAGGTGAGATCTTGCATGGAGCCCCAGGCCGAGGGAGATTGAAAGTTCTTTTCTGTTTCTTCCATTTGCGAATAATCGCACCAACTGTTGTCACCTTCTCACCAAGCTGCTTGGCAATGGTCTTGTAGCCCATTCCAGCCTTGTGTAGGTCTACAATCTTGTCCCTGACATCCTTGGAGAGCTCTTTGGTCTTGGCCATGGTGGAGAGTTTGGAATCTGATTAATTGATTGCTTCTGTGGACAGGTGCCTTTTATACAGGTAACAAGCTGAGATTAGGAGCACTCCCTTTAAGATTGTGCTCCTAATCTCAGCTCGTTACCTGTATAAAAGACACCTGGGATCCAGAAATCTTTCTGATTGGGAGGGGGTCAAATACTTATTTCCCTCATTAAAATACAAATCAATTTATAACATTTTTGACATGCGTTTTTCTGGATTTTTTGTTGTTATTCTGTCTCTCACTGTTCAAATAAACCTACCATTAAAATTATAGACTGATCATTTCTTTGTCAGTGGGCAAACGTACAAAATCAGCAGGGGGTCAAATACTTTTTTCCCTCACTGTATAATGATGTATTTCATTTTAAGGTCGTGTTATTAGAGAAAGTGTTGAGTTTTTTTGCTTAAATTGAGCTCTGTAGCAGTGAAGCACGCACAAAGCAATGTCGTCTCTAACTTCGTGTTGGGTGTGACAATTGCATACCTGTTAACCCCTTATCAATGCCCTACCTTACTACACACCAATTCAGACCTTATTGGTCACCCCGTGTCCCTTATACATCTCAACGTTCATCCTACAAAGTCCGATCACAAAGGAGAAACACAAACAAATAGATACAGGTTTTTTGTTACCCGTATTGTAACGGCTGTACATCGTATGGACCTGAACACTCAATTTCCCTGTAGAAGAATACGGGTAAACCGTATGGGTTGACAAGTACGGCTACAATAATGAAAATTTAGTATTGAATGTTTCATGCTTGCGAACATAACCTTATTGAAATAGGTTTTACCCTTTTAACTGGCACAAAAACTGACACCTTTATTCAAGGCATCATGTTTGCAATAACCACAACACAAGCAGTCAAAATGCAAACAAAAGAGACAACTCTAATAATAATATGCACTGTCCTTGAATTTGATTGGTCCACACCCGAGAAGGCTTTTCTTAGAGCCGAGTCTCCACTGGTGTTGGACCAGAAGACGCCAAAAGGCGTACAACTCAAAAACAGCGCACTATCAGAGTATTGAGGGCTCGGGGTGAGCATTTACATTATGAGACCTCCTTTGCCAGTAACAAGATATTGAAATAGGTTTTACCCTTTTAACTGGCACGAAAACTGACACCTTTATTCAAGGTATCAATAAAGGTGTCAGTTTTTGTGCCAGTTAAAAGGGTAAAACCTATTTCAACATCTTGTTACTGGCAAAGGAGGTTTCATTATGAACATAACCTTGTTTCAAAGACTGCAATGTGACAGTTTTGATTGTGGTGAATACTGTACTATACCTGTCAACCCATATGGTTTACCCCGTATTCTTGAACAGGGAAATTTAGTTTACAGGTCCATACAGCGTACAGCCGTTTCAATACGGGCAACAAAATGGTATGTTTGTTTGTGTTTCTCCCTTGTGATGGGACTTTGTAGGATGAACGTTGAGATTTATAAGGACACGGGGTGACCAATAAGGCCTGAATTGGTCTGTAATAAGGTAGGGCACTGTTAAGGGGTTTACAGGTATGCTGTCCAGTACAAATAAATATAATACAGTACATACAATTAATACTCTCAGAAAGTTATTCGATAGTCATAGTAGTGTATGTGAACATCAAACATAACAAATCAACTACAGCATTCAATTTCCCACGATCAATCTCAATAATGGTTTTCCACTGGAATTAACATTATCGTGTGCTGCAAATGCAGTACACTACGGTAATCTACTGCGATGGAAATAACTGAAAGCGCCAAACAACCGTTTGGATTGCAGTACTGTAATTGATTGGTCAGTAGTTGAGATGAACAGCTTTTTTGACTTCTGTATTTGAAACGTGTCTTTTGCAGGTGCAGCAGACTTCGCCGAGTGCAGCGAATCTTACTGGGAGGCTCGGACTCTAAACCAGACGCTTTGCTGTGCATATTGGGTGAGCATTTATGTTCCCTGAACGGCTATTCCACATACATTTGGGCTGGAGTGTTTTTTTTATAAAGTGTTTAACCATTTCCCAGTTTTTCTTCCGATAAACGAAGCACCTGCTGCTTTCCAGTCTCGCAGCCCAACGTGGCCTGTTTAGGAGCAGTCGGGCGGATGTTAACGCCGACCTGTTCTGATGAGGCTGCAGCACCGGACTGTGATGTACATTGGTGCCATGGGGAGGGGGGGATGACTAGCCCTTTCTCAATCCACTAATGGATGAAGACCTTTTTATTCCATATCTCATGGAGGGGGTGGGGAGTGGTTAGTTGACCATACTTCACCATGTTAGTGTGTGTTGGTGAAGGGCGAGGGGGAGACAGGACAGGTTCACGTATCACTCGCCACTGACGTTAGCCGTCGCTGGGAATCAAACTCAGCTCACCGTGTTCAGAGAGCCGTGTGCTGACCACTTGTGCCACCACTCAACCATTGAAGGATTTTGGAGCGGGAAAAAAAAACTTTGCACGTAGAGAATCATTGATTTGTCCATTAAATCGATTTTTGCAATACACGCTTTAAATTGTTGACTTGTGAAACAATTACAATAAAACACTCCATGTCCCCTCCTCTTAGTAATCGCCCTATCTATTATCAGCAACTCCTAATCGGTCTGCGAACCTCCCTGTTATCCACTCGTCCATTCTTCCTGTTACACGTCATATTTCCCCCCCAAGATAACGGACATCTCAGAACGTTCTCGTCTCTGCACTTGTACGTGGGTTTCTCCTGATCTAATTTGACCTGGAATTGGTCGACTGGAATTCCGTCATTGATGCTGTTATCCACACCCAGTGAAAATAACAGAAGTAACTGGGAAATGGTGGGAAATTAATCCTCTTTGCTCTGGTTATCTGTGCTCCTTCACACAGATGAGAGGAGTCAGATGTGTGGATGCATGTGGATGATAGCACCCCTCCCCCATAGTATGGACGGGAGGCGTTTCACTACGTTTATAATTAATGCAAATCGCATGCAAATGATATGCCAATGTTAAAATGAAGTCAATGAAGCAAACAGCCGTACAAACAAGACAGATATAATGGATAACGATGCAAAAGAGATGTAGAAAATCTGCGTAAACTCATTCTTAAAAGTTGAATTACAGCCCTAAATTGTGACGTTGTTTATGGAATCACTGGGGTGTGAATCGTTGCATGCCTTGAAAAAGCCTTGTGCTGACATGCTGTGGCGTCTTAGTCGCTGAAAATCCAGTGAGCGTGTTGTAGTCCTCCCAGTGAGATGGAGCTCTATCAGATCTAGATGGTTTGGACAACACTGTACCGTACGACACAAACAAGCACAGAATATAAACAGAACTCCGTCCGGCTGTAATCACATTCAAAGGGAATTACCGTTGAACTACGCCCCACGATTACTTACATTACTCTGATGAAGAGCAAGTGAATACGCTAGAGAACGGTGGCATTTCCTCAGTGGTGCAACTGTGGAGAGTGTAGGCGGTGCAACTGCACCAGGTCCCACAGGAGACCCCCTCCGGCTGGGCTACGAAGAGGGAGGGCGGCGGTGGACAGTGAGGCCCCATTTAATTCCTTGCACCAGGACCCATGCCAAGCACATTATGCAAACTGCTTTTGTCAGCTTCAAGGTCCCCTCATTGTAACGTTTTGAATGCAAAAACAAAACTAAACTTGAGGGAACATTTTGTCGATTGCTGCATAGCCACTCGTCGAACTCTGCAACCATGAACTGGCTTTTTAAAACTCTGGAAGTTTCACGTTGTTGACCTGCAGTAGTTTAACTTGATGTTGTATTATTTGACATTGGTGAGCTCTCTGATAAAAAACAAAATATTCCAAGGTTGATAAGTACAGCAGTGTCCCTTTTTTAGTCTGCGATTTTAGGACTGCCTATCAAAACATACCACGTGTAATTTCATGGGACCTCCTTTGCCCATACCACGTGTAAATTATGGCAAAGTGGCTTTCACATTTAATTAAATCCCACTGTGATGTGGACATGAAATTCGCATTATGTTTCAATAAAACTTGTCTTACAAGAACCAATTGTTTTACACTTGCTCTTCTTTTAATCTGCAATATAACGACGTTTTGACTGCAACACAAGCAATGATCATCAGGTGTGAAAACCACAGCAAGAAAATTTGAGAATTTTATTGTTTTATATTTTTATTATTTTATTGTTTCCCTTCTACGTGACTTTACCCTGCAGTCACGAAAGCTTTAAATACTTTTTTTTACAAGATAACCATTAACCTGAAACATAGTTAAGAGTGTGCACCATTGTCATCGAGTGAGCATGACGAATAACTGGGAATTAGTCCCTTTTATTATTAATGTAGTTCCAAAATAGTTGGACAATGATCAATTTTCCATGACGGTAATTTCCCATATTTCATATGTGGGTGAATTGGTGGTATAACGGTGAGCGCACTCTGCTATAAAACCAGTTACCTAAGTTACATTCCTCGTCATGGCTAACATCAATGCACAGTGATATCTGTAGAGGTCCTCTGCTCTTCGTTCCCCAACCCTCAATGACTTTCGTTACTGCAGGAATTCATAATCTTTGAGTCTTTCGGTAAAGCCACGTAGATAGAAAAAATTATCAAAATAATAATAATGTCTACGTGGCTTTACCGAAAGACCCAAAGAATATGAATTCCTGCAGTCACGAAAGCTTTAAGTCAAGATTTAACCACCTCTACGGGGAGGGTTTCCACACAACTATTAGATCTTTCCCTATTTTTGGATTATTTTTTCTGTCTACGTGGCTTTACCAAAAGACCCAAATAATATTGTTATATATATTAAATAATACATTTGCTAAGTACAAAAATTACTGGGTTGCTTACTTTGTGCCATACTCCATCGCTGTCAATTGCATCCAAGAGTTTGCTTTATTGTGGCTACAGACAGATGAGTAGAGGCCATGGTAGCCCATCCACACACAGCTAGGTTACAATACAGCACAGCACCATAGAAGACTCCTATGTGACAATTAAGGCAATTCACAGTATGTGGTGTTGCAGTTAAGGCAGTCTGCCAGTGCAATGTTTATTTTATTTTACCACGTAAGGCCCAACTGAGCTATACAGCTCTTTTACAGAAACGACCTTGCCACAAATGATAGCTCAACGCAGTGGCTTATCACGTGGAAATTTGTAGCAGCCAAATAAATGCACGTTTCTAAACGTGGAGGGTGAAACCGGAGGACCCGAAGAAAAATCCACACTACCACAGAGAGAGGACATGCAAACTCGTTGGTCTGTATGTGTTTTATGTTCAAAGGCATTGACAGCAGATACAATGAAGGTTGCAGCGAACTGGCCAACTACCTCTTGTTTGGCTTCTATGCTCAAGACCACTCTGAGCTGGACCGGAAGAGCTTTCCAGAGGAAGTGCTGGACGGTAAGGGCCCGGACAAAAGATTGTGCGTTTGCTTCCGTTGCCAATTGTGCAACGTCCGTGCGGACGCTGCACAATTATTCACCGATATCCGTGAACTTGGTGATGTACGCTGTTTTTTCCTCCACAAGAAGGAGTGGAGAGGAAGATGATGTAAGCCACGTTTCCTGCATGTGTGCGTATTTATAGTCTAAAGTGACTCCACGTGTTAAAGAGCTAGAAATATGGCAATTGATTGCTTACCGTTTAACGCGTAGGCTTTCGCGACCAATATTCATAATAAAGTTTGTTTGGGTTACATCGCGTAAATATAAATGTGTCGTTAAACCCGCCACCACCCGACACAGCCAATTAGTAAGCTTTGTCACGTAAATAGAACATGCCAATTAGTTACGAGTACAGCACACCGGTGTGTTATCAGAGTATGTTTTTGTTTGCATTCTGACCACAAGCATTGTGGTTAATGCAGACGTGATTCCTTGTTAAAGGTTTCAGTTTGGTGTTTTAACATCTTAACACCTCTTTTGTTGCCAGAAAAAAGTGGGAAAACTTATTTTCATATTTTGGTACTGGCAAAGGAGGTCCCATGATTATGGATGATTGTTTACTTTGTGCCTTGTTTATTTCACATTTTAACAGGTGAATAATGTGACCGCTATAATGGTAGAAATTTTTAAAAGAAATTTCCAACAATGCACTGTGCAGTAATTCCTTTCATTCAGGCGAGGGTTAAGATAAACAACATTCTAGTTTTCATATTGATCCTGGTTTTAATCGGCGTGGGATGCTTCTATGATGTCACTGTCAGCACACTGGACTTGCAACCCAGAGGCTGCCAGTTCAGTCTCCCGGCATGGCACTTGACATGATGATGCAAGGGTCTCCAGTTCCCCCTCGCCGTGTCTCTGTCCCCCCCAGCGGAACACAACGGTTTCTGGCCAGTGTGGAAGAGGAGGCCAACACACCCCCTAGAGAGGCTTTGTCGAGCTCCCTCTAATGTAGGCCGTTCTTCCAGCGGTGGCGTGAGCATGCAGTTGCAGGGCTCCACCTTTACCTTCGAGCATTGTACAATCTACTTTTTATCGCTTAGAGACAATTGTTCTTTTCAGGGAGCGCGTGCATTACAAAGCGCGCGCCTCGTTCGTGCGTTCTGTGTTGTGTGCGCGACGCAGACGTGATCATCTTGGTGAAGCCAGAGAGCGTTCACCTCTACTGTAACCCCGTCAATTACCCGCACCTCGTTCCGTACGTGGCTCGCTGGAGAAACCTGCAAATCCACTGCATGACTGCAATGGAGGTAGCGGAATGCCCCCCACTCATCCAATGGGGTTCCATCGTCCCGCACCTACAAAGGCAGCGGCTGTGTGCCCTCTAGTGCGGTGACATTTTGTTCTCCTCTCTTGTCCAGCGTTTGTAACGTGGTGACCTTTATCCCAGCTGAATTTGCCATTACGTCACCGTTTGTGAGTGTATATCGTGAATCTGCACACTCGATATAGGCAGTAGTGACTGTAGATGTGTCTAATGGTATCAATCAATAAACTGTGAAGGTCAGACTCTGTTAAGAATCTTGCTTTGGCATTGCACTATCTTTAAGAGCTAATGTTGTTTTACACTTAATAATTTAGTTATAATAAAAACAAATTCTACATGACATGTCAGAACAAGCACCATATTTTATATTTTTTTGTGAATTGCAATATGGTGTGTCATTTGTGTATAAATTACAGTATGTTGCCTTAAGACAAATATATGAATGAATTCGCTTACGTTGCATTCACTGTGCACAGGGCCCAGTAGCATATATTGCAAAACGGCCAGCAATAAACAGCATTTGTGATTATATAACATATGAGAATGAACGCGTTTATGTAATTCAGCACGGTGACGGGGACTTAGCGAAAAAGACAGCGGAAGAGATTTGCAAAGTGGAGCGTCAGGAGAAAAAAAATAGGAGAAAGAGAAATCCTTACATTTAAAAAAAAGTTGTTGAAAATAGTATGGATAAGACGACAGTGTCAATCTGGTAGAGTGAGTTCTTGACATTGACAGGAGGTATTAAGGCATGAAGTTCATGGGAAAAATAACCTAGGTAGTCGTGATAAGGCAGTGATTGAATAATGCTGAGAGAGAGAGACTGGAGTGAATCACGCAGGAGCATCGGTCAACAGAACTGATTAACTAGGAGCTCCACCAGAAATGTCACGAAAAGTATTTCAACTTTGGCCAAATGTGTGAAATGGACTGCAGTGGTGACTTCTGATAAGAAGTGAAGAAAGCTTTAGCATCAAAAATATATATTCTCCAGCAGCTCATCTTTTAAAAATGCCACCGTTCCATAAGTCAGTTGAAATGATCATGTCAAGCCGATTTATAGATAAGATCAGTCTTGTTAAATGTGATAGGAATGCTATTTACAACTTAAGATTATAAGCATCCACTGGGTGTGTGTTTTAAAGTGGCTAGACTCTTTATACCAGCAAAGCCTCACCGAGTCTCAAGACTTTTTTTTTATGAGAATTGCATTTTCGGATGTTCCACCAATCACTAAAGCCATTTCTTTGCAAGCAGCCTATTGTGAGTCACTTTATACAGACGATCAGTAAAATAACTGGAGAGCACCTCTTGTTTCGGGACAGTATGAGGATGAGGAGGCTGGCGAGGAATTCAAGATCACAAGCTTCGTGAACATGGTGCAAGACTGCAAAACTGTGGGAGTCCCATACAGTGCACAAGGTTTGTGCATGAGATGGATCTTTTCGCATCCGTTACATTGTTACTTTAGTCACAGGCCATCTGTCATGAGCAGTCTTATAGTGGTGCTCGTTGCTGTTTGGAAGTTAGATCGAGTTCCAAAGTGTTATTATATACAAACGTTAAGAAAAAGGATATTCGCTTGCGTTCATTATTTTGAACAGTTTATTATTGCATCTATAAGATCCGGCCCACACATGGCGTGGAAAAATATGTAGCGCTAGCTGTAGGGCATGCTGTTTTACTTTGATGAAATTACATGTGGCATTCATACATGATGTCCCATCCCCGGCACTCATTGGATCAATACATTGAGGTGCCATTCACGAGCACTCGTTTCGTAGGCAGTTGAACATTTTGGAAAATTCTTCCCGGAGGTTGTCATTAATCTCTGTGCATCCCTTTTTGTGTGGTTGGCTTTTTCTCCATGTAGGCCACCCACAGAAATTTGATATGTTCGTGATGGAGAAATGGCCGATGATTCAGGCTTTTGCTCTGGAAGGTCTTGGTGGAGGAGGCTTCTTCACAATGAAACACGAGGTGCATGGGATTGCGTTTGCTTGCTGCATAGAATGGCTGGATTTCCTTGTTTATGGATTTCAGTTTTTAACGATGATATTTTTTTCTATTACAATTTTTGTTGTATAATGCGATCCAATAAAACCTTAATTATTACATTTCACTTTTTAATAGCACACATAGCTATGTTTTCATAGAAAATGTCCGGCTAATATTGCTGGGAAAATGTTGATGCAGTCTATTTTTCGTTCCTTAAACTAACTTTTCTAACATAAATTCCCCTTGGTTTTACATTAAACCCCGCAATTACCTGGATTTTTATACTTTATGGAAACCAACAGCAAAGAACTCAAAATAATTCATTGTCATCAAGGTCATCATCCATTTTCTTGTACGTTTCTCCAGTTTAAATGTAAAGAGAGCGAGTGCAAATTTTTACTTCAGATGAAATGACCAAACATCTAATTAATTCCACCTGTGCCACATTCTATATTTTCTGGTAAAGACTGTCATTAGGGATAAATATCAATGCAGTGAAACCTCGTTAGAGCGTTCACAATTTTTGCCTTCTCCCATCTTGTCTAAGATCACATTATGAAAGTCCCTCATTGACACACAGTCACTTGATGTATTGCTTTCTGAATCAGAACAATCCGTTTTGCTCGTGTGCTGAAAAATATCGATATTTCACTGTAATCCATATATATCACTTTCCTTTTACTCCAGTTTTTTTTAACGGTGTGGGTTTGGAAGGAGGAAACGGTATATTGGTGTGGCTGAGCGTCGCTTTGGTGTGTTTCACAGCTGGTCGATTTGAGCGAAGATTTGTGGGAGGTTTACAGTCGACTGGACCCGGTCTCTCTCGAATCGCTCATCACCGAGGTACCCAGTCAATGTCTGTTTTATGTACACATTTATCTGCCGCTACAGCTCGTGCCAATCACATTGTTTATTTATAACCAGTTGAGCACCCACTGAGACCCATCATCTCCTTTCCACTGGGTGACCTTGGTATAGTATGTCATATGGATATTTAGGATTAAACCACTTCTTCAAATTAGTTTACAAATAAAAGAAACAAAGAGAAAATATGCAATGTGTAATGTACGTGTGTTGAACTTCTTTCGCACCGTACGTAGCCAACTGCGCTTAAACGTAACATCTAATTGCTCAAAAAGAAAGCCGTCCCTTGGTGTGGACCAACCAGTTTCAAGGACAATGCATATATTATTATAGTATGTTTTTTGTTTGCATTTTGACTGCAGGTATTGTGGTTAATGCAGACATGAATCCTTGTAAAAAGCTTTCAGTTTTGTTGCCAGAAAAAAGGGGAAAACCCCTATTATTATGTTTTGGCACTGGCAAAGGAGGTCTAATGAGGTGTTAAGTTGTTAAAACACCAAAATGAAACCTTTTACAAGGAATCATGTCTGCATTAACCACAATACTTGTGGTCAAAATGCAAACAACAAACATACTCTGATAATATTTTAACAACTTAACACCTGTTTTGTTGCTAGATAAAAGGGGAAAAATGTATTGTCATATTTTGGTACTCACAAAGGAGGCCCCATGATGTACCTGCTTATCTTCTGACGAGGTCAAGTGCATTCAGGGTGAGTAGGTTGTAGGAAAACCTGAGTACTTGGAGCACCGAGGTGGCGAGATGTTAACTACCTCACCTGGTATACAGAAGATTGTGGGTTCAATCCCGACCCTGATGCCTGTATATTTGGAGTTTGCATGTTCTCCCCGTGGTCCTGTGGATTGTCTCTGGGTTGTTCGGTTTTTCCCTCCGTGTTTAGAATCAACATGCGTGTAGAGTGTTTGGCTGCTATACATCAAGCCACCTTGTTGTGCTATCATTTGTGGCCAGGTCACTTCTGAAAAAGAGCTATGTAGCTCAGTGGGCCTTACCTGGTACATTTTAAATAGTTTAGTACTTGTACACAAATATGAGTCATGTTTGCAACCCTGGTCGTGCTAATCATTTAAACTTGCAAAAATTAAAGTGTAAAGTTTCAGTGCACAGAGAATTAACATCGATAACTTTTTCAGGAACTCGTACTGTTCGAGTGGCAGTGGAAAACGTTTTTTTCCAACTTTGACATCGAGAGCCCAGCTTCCATTCTCGACTTGTCTGAAGCCCAAGTCGGAGAGGTGCAGTCACATTTTTTTCCCTTCAATACCTACTACACGCCGTGATGTGATCTAAGCTTGTGTAAGCCTTGTTTAGTTTGAAAATTGTACATACAACGTTGTGATCTTGGTCATCTTGAACACCGCTCCTCGGTTATCAACATGAAAGTAATTCCAAGTTACAGCGGAACTCGAACAATCTGTGAATTCCTGTAATTAGCGCATTTTTATCGAGATTGTGACTGCTCCCTTAATTCACGGCGGATTAACACATTCCTGCGGAGGGAGCTGGTAGGAACGTTGGGTTGCTCGGTCAATGGCCCGGGTCAACGGCGGCACCACGTGGTGTATTCTGCAAATATGCCCGACTATGAGGGCGGGCACAAGCCGGCGTGAGTAGGTTAAACGTTGAGTTTTATAAGGGCACCACGGGGTGACCAGCCCCTCCCCACCCAGCCCCACCTGTCCCACCCCCCACTTAGCCCCACCTTCCCCGCCCAGCCCCTCCCCACCCTCCCCACCCAGCCCCTCCCCACCCTCCCCTCCCCACCCAGCCCCTCCCTCCCCACCCAGCCCCTCCCCACCCTCCTCTCTCCACCCAGCCCCACCCCTCCCATTTTTGGATGCACGACGGACGGACAGAATAATCCCTTGTGGGCTGGTGTAACCAGGACGTTCCTACCAGTAAAAACGCTTCACAAACCATTACCAGCAATTCTTAGATGTGGGTGGGGCTATAGTAGAGCTGCAGGAGAAGGAGCTGCAGGAAAATCTGGAGGAAGAATTTTTATATTTTTACACTTTGCAATTTGTATTCGTGCGATTTCTGAAGTTGAAATTATTCCTGAATTTTATGATGAGTATAAAGAAATTGCAACAAAATTCACTCACAGACCCATATGGCAAATTTGCACAATTTAGGTCTTAGAAAAAAATCATAACATTGTAACCTCTGAATTTATTATGGATTAACTTTTCCGCTAATCATGTCCCACACTTCCCCTGTAAACCGTCAGATTTTTCGTGAATGAATGTGATCCTGCAGCTCTTTCTCCCACGATGCTTCGTTTTTTGCGGATTGTTTGGTGGAACCTCCGCGCTGTGCTGAGAGTTACTGGATCCTTGGATAGGGTCCCCCGATATCAACGGATTTAAGTTCTGCTGGATGGGAATCATCACTGCGCACTGCTCAGGGTAGTCTTTCTGGGAAGCTTACAGTATTTATGTATGCACTGTCTTTGTCCACCAGCCTTTCAGAAGTTACTTCAACCATGGAATGCTCTCGAGTCACATACCCAGTAAAACGTGAGTGCGTTAACGATTGAAATAGAATGTGGGCTCAGTGTTTCATGCCTAGTTGCATGACTCCGAATCTAAAAATTGCACCCCCATTCCAATCCGTACCCACTTCCCCTGCTATTGAATGAACCTTCAAGATTCAGAGTAATTTTGATTAGTTAGCTTCGCTTTCACTGTCTTGTTTGTCCTGTCTCTCATCTCTTCTGTTTAGTTCCCTCAGCACATTAGCTGGAATTTTTACATTTGCAGATAAATGTTGTCAATTGTAATCAGTCATTTTTTATTTGCTCAAATGATTTAATGTTTGGTTTTAATTGAATCATCACATGGTTACAAAATAAGCACTTGGTCATTAATGTGCATTTGCTTGGAATGCAACTAAAAGTACAAAGTTATGCACTCTGCAAATGTCCGCTTGACAGCTCACGAGAGAAATAGAACGAGACACTGCACATTGGTGTGCTCTTGCAAGTGACATCAGAGTATGTTTTAACACCTGCTTTACAAAAGTGCAGTTTAGATTATATTTTATTTAACCCTAGGTGAGAACTCAAGAGAATAGGGTAGTGTCATTTTCAGGAGTGACCCAGTGTCACTGCACAGCTATAACTTATATAATAACTTATAAATTAGTTGAGCGCCAATCGTATTAGAATCATATTTTGGTTTTACATCGCATCGTTCATGCAGATGACATCTCACCACTCTTTACAATCTGTAACACACCGAGGCTTGAGGAACCACAGGCTAGTCGGGAGACAGCGAGGCAGTGCGCCGGTGCCAACAATTCCCCAAGCTCTGCAGTCCTCCATTTATATATAAAACAAATTTCAGTCCATTAATGAGTATTTATACATGTGAGAGGAAACTGGAGCACTCGGATAAAACTCTTAAATGTGAAGGGGGCAACGCTATCCCATACAGATGAAACAGATGGAGATTCATTCTGACTTCTCTTGCAAGCCAGGGTATGGCACCTCGACGCCCCACAGGGAGGGAGTTTCAAAACATTTGTGTGATCCACCAACCCACACCTCCATGGTGCTGGATTACAGATATGCCTAGCCACCACCGCCTGGCATTTGACACCAAGCTAGTGTTACCACAAACAGAACATTATTTTCTGTAATGTTGTACGATGTGCGATGCTGCTTTAACAATCGCAGCATGTTTTCTGTAAAGTACAGAGCACAGACCACTTTAACGCTTTCCAAACAAGCGCTACAGACGCAATTCGGCGTTTAATTGCCATTATTTAAATTTGCTCATTGCGCGAGCAGCAGCAGCAGGAGGCAGCCGCTGGTGCTCTTCGGGAGCCGGACGGGACGGCAGGGCATGGAGGAGGAGGACAACAACTTCAGCTTTCCGTCCGAGAGCCACCTGCTGCGCAACACGGGACCGGCGGCGTCGCACGCGCGTCACATGGTCGGTGGCTGGAGCGGCAGCGGCGTTGTAGTCCCAGCGCAGCTGTCGGGCGGCACAACGTCCACACAGGCCCAGACGGCGAACTCGTAAACATAAATCGAGCGCTGACCCAAGGGAGTGCCCGAAATTTAATTCCTGCGCCGGTGGAGTCGTTCATTATTGTAGGTTGTTGTTGTTGTTGTTCTGCACACGAGTGGCTTAAAAGCATGATTTGTATCTCCCCGTGCCCCCCTATCTTTGAAATACTATGCACAATTTTAAATTGAGATTGACTTGAGCCTTTGTGTGTATTATAATAAGTAATGATTTCTTCTGTATTGTACTTGTCAATGGCATAAACACTGCACAAAATGAATCACTTAATATATATGTATGCAAACGAGGCCAAACATTTTGAGAACAGGAATATTTAAAAATTTGCTTCCGCTTCGAAGTGGACTATGCTCACTATGCAGTTTGGTGTTTGAATTTACATAAAACTTGAAATTGTCACCCAATTTTTGAGACACCAGGCTTTGTAGACTGGGCACTCATGGTGGAGTGGTAACTTTTGCCCGGTTGGTTTTATTCCACTTCCCTAGATCATCCAGTGTTCAAACCCAAAAGGACCGCTATCCTGCACCAGAACATATTTCTTCGGAAGTTCTCACACACCTTACATGGGTGAGTTATTCTCCTGCTGTTGAACACCAAATAGCTGGCTATATACAATAAAACCATGGATTGAGAGTAACTTGGTCTGCGAGTGTTTTGCAAGACGAGCAAATTTTTTAAAATAAATATTAATTTGATAAACGAGCAAGGTCTTGCAATACGAGTAGTACGTATACGCTTTGTCTGCCGAGTGTCACGTGATCACAACTGATATACGAGTGCTTTGATATACGAGTGCTTTGGATTACAAACACGTGTCCGGAACGAATTATGCTCGCAATCCAAGGTTTTACTGTATTTTTTTTAAATTGCATTGAAAATATTGGTGAAAACAAAATTAATGTGATCTCTTGCAGATAACAACAATGAACAGCAGATGGACCCAGTGCTCAGGTTTGTTGAGCTTTTCAGAATCATCTTTTAACTTGCCACTTCACAATGCGTCATTTGTATCGCGTTCAGGCTGCCGATCGTGAAACGTATTGACCCTTTCTGTGTATTTTATAGGCCGGGAAAAGGATTTGTCCTTAAATACAAAGATCCTAAATTACGACTCGTCTCCTTTTGTTTAACGTTTCACGTGCACACAGGGTGCTGTCTGGAGTGTACGCCTCTGGCGTGGAAGCAGTGTTGGCCGGCATTGTGCACTACACTGAAACTGGAGACGCTTTCACCGTAAGTCACTGAATGGCACCCGAACCTCTTGCGTTAAGGCCGTGTCTCTTACGAACGTTTCTGGCCGTGTAGGCTGAAGCCTGGTTCACACTTGGGCAATTTATTATGACGGTACTAAGCGATGAAATTCTTCGATCGCGCACCGCGGGCATCGCGAGCTTCAAAGTGATCTGCGAGGGCAATGCAGCAGTGCGGAAATCATACGTGGGACCGGTGGCGATCACGAGCGGTGTGGATTAACGACGTGACATGTTGCACGTCGAGTCTGATCAATCGCAGTCGTAAGCGTGAAGCATGGGGGAGCGGTCCAGGGCCTCGAACACATCGCCTGAATGTGGTGATTGGCGCTTGGCTCATTTTTGTTTGTGGTCAATGTTCATCGGGTCCTACTGTGATTTTCCAAACATAATTCTAACAGCTGATTGAATGTTCTGTATGATGATCTTTACAGTACACTGATGTACTCTGGGATTACACGCCAACATCGTTCCCGTACTGTGAAATCTTGCAAGGACTCCCCTGAAAGAGTGTCTTGACACTACTCAGTGTTCTTGGAATTTATGCCAGCCCCCTTGTCCAATTTTGCTTGCTTGAAGCCCATTGTAAAATAGTAGTTTTGGGTGCTAATGAGTATGGTCAAGGGTAACCCTTTGGAAACGTTGAAACCAGTCCAGGGCTTATTTTGTTTAAACAAATGCTTTTGGGAAAAATATGGCGAGATGTTGACTACCTCACCTGGTATGCAGGAGGTCGTGGGTTCAGTCCCGACCCTGACGCCTGCTGTTTATTTGGAGTTTGTCCCCGTGGCCGCGTGGATTTTCCCCTCCACATTTCTAAACGCGTAATTAGAGTATTTCGCTTCTGAAAACGAGCTACATGGTTCAGTGGTAACATACAAAAGAGTTTAAATTGTTTAATCTGATAGGCCCACTGGTTGAAGGACTGCAGTGTTACTTTTTGGCGATCAACAGACAATGCTGTACCATTAATTCAGTATTTATTTAGCTGTGATTGATTTTATTTTATTTATAATATTGCACTACACATTTTCACTATACTTCTGTGCTTTGATGTGTATGTTAATTTATACAGTATGTAATAAAATATATTTTTTATTATTTTATTGTTTCCCTTTAACGTGACTTTACCGAAAGAGCTAAGAATATGAATTACTGCAGTCACGAAAGCTTTAAATCAAAATTTATACAGTATGTGTTTGTCACTGATGTTACGTGTTATGTGCAATTTATTTGTCACCTGAGATTATGTAATGTCTCCAACGTTGCCAAACGAATGTGATCGTTAGACATGTTTTGACAATGACTGGTTTTAACATATATATTAGGACAGAAAGCATATTTGGTCAGACCTCTCTGGAAGAAACCACTGTAACATAACACAGGCGTGGCAGTGCTCTGAGTTTGGCCTTGAAGTGATTGCCAAGGTGGATATTTTCAACAGCTAAACAAAGCAGGCGATGGTGGAATATTTTTTTTTAACATTGGTGTCCTTACGTAATAGTACATTTATTTACCCTGCATCGGTTCGTTGCAACTACTGAAGTGCATTTGTTACAAAGCATCTGAATTAAGGGCATGGCTGCTTTTAAATTGCATTGTTTAGTGAGTAGACTATTGTGAAATGCTGCAAAGAAGCCTGCATGCCTGTATACTGAACAGGGGTGTCTGTTTTGGTGTTTGCTCAGTATGGTGGGCAATACTAGGAGTATTGTTTGTTTGGAGGCATTTTCCGACAACAGCATGTCACCTCGTGCCTGAATTCCAAGAGAATAAGTCACACTGTTACTTAAATTATGTTCTCATGAACTCTTCGTAACACTTGGTGCTACCGTTTAAATGGAATGATGATAACAATTCGTCTTTCTTTTCCCCATGTGCGTATTTTGCTTTTTTTACGCAAGACCAAGGCCACAGTTGAGCAGCTGTTCTTCTCATGCCTCGACAAGTACGACCTTTCGAAGTACAAATCCACGTTGAGGTAACTGCATATCCGCCCCCTTCACGTCAAGATGCCCGCATCATTATCAGATTGCATTTAAATGGTTAGACTTGCGTTGATGCTTCAACACTGAACACATTTGCGCCTACAGTGAGGGAAAAAAGTATTTGATCTCCTGCTGACTTTGTACGTTTGCCCACTGACAAAGAAATGATCAGTCTATAATTTTAATGGTAATTTTATTTGAACAATGAGAGACAGAATAACAAAAACATCCAGAAAAACGCATGTCAAAAATGTTATTAATTGATTGCCATTTTAATGAGGGAAATAAGTATTTGACCCCTCTGCAAAACATGACTTAGTACTTGGTGGCAAAACCCTTGTTGGGAATCACAGAGGTCAGACGTTTCTTGTAGTTGGCCACCAGGTTTGCACACATCTCAGGAGGGATTTTGTCCCACTCCTCTTTGCAGATCTTCTCCAAGTCATTAAGGTTTCGAGGCTGACGTTTGGCAACTCGAACCTTCAGCTCCCTCCACAGATTTTCTATGGGATTAAGGTCTGGAGACTGGCTAGGCTACTCCAGGACCTTAATGTGCTTCTTCTTGAGCCACTACTTTGTTGCCTTGGCCGTGTGTTTTGGGTCATTGCCATGCTGGAATACACATCCACGACCCATTTTCAATGCCCTGGCTAAGGGAAGGAGGTTCTCACCAAAGATTTGATGGTACACGGCCCCGTCCATCGTCCCTTTGATGCGGTGAAGTTGTCCTGTCCCTTTAGCAGAAAAACACCCACAAAGCATGTTTGACGGTGGGGATGGTGTTCTTGGGGTCATAGGCAGCATTCCTCCTCCAAACACGGCGAGTTGAGTTGATGCCAAAGAGCTCCATTTTGGTCTCATCTGACCACAACACTTTCACCCAGTTGTCCTCTGAATCATTCAGATGTTCATTGGCAAACTTCAGACGGGCATGTATATGTGCTTTCTTGAGCAGGGGGACCTTGCGGGCACTGCAGGATTTCAGTCCTTCACGGCATAGTGTGTTACCAGTTGTTTTCCTGGTGACTATGGTCCCAGCTGCCTTGAGATAATTGACAAGATCCTCCTGTGTAGTTCTGGGCTGATTCCTCACCATTCTCATGATCATTGCAACTCCACGAGGTGAGATCTTGCATGGAGCCCCAGACCGAGGGAGATTGAAAGTTATTTTCTGTTTCTTCCATTTGCGAATAATCGCACCAACTGTTGTCACCTTCTCACCAAGCTGCTTGGCAATGGTCTTGTAGCCTATTCCAGCCTTGTGTAGGTCTACAATCTTGTCCCTGACATCCTTGGAGAGCTCTTTTGGCTTGGCCATGGTGGAGAGTTTGGAATCTGATTGATTGATTGATTGCTTCTGTGGACAGGTGCCTTTTATACAGGTAACAAGCTGAGATTAGGAGCACTCCCTTTAAGATTGTGCTCCTAATCTCAGCTCGTTACCTGTATAAAAGACATCTGGGAGTCAGAAATCTTTTTGATTGAGAGGGAGTCAAATACTTATTTCCCTCATTAAAATGCAAATCAATTTATAACATTTTTGACATGCGTTTTTCTGGATTCAAATAAACCTACCATTAAAATTATAGACTGATCATTTCTTTGTCAGTGGGCAAACGTACAAAATCAGCAGGGGATCAAATACATTTTCCCTCACTGTACGTTTGGGCTTTTGTTGTTGTTCCAGATCTGCATTGTCATTCACCATTCAGCCAGTAAACCTCCAGGGGAGGTAAGACTACCCACGCTTTTAATTACTGTAGTTACTTTTTTACAAGTGTAAAGTCGTCAGACTTCAAAGGGGACGATTTAACGAGTGCGTGAATCCATTATATGACTGCTAATGTGATGTAATACGTTGGGACACAATGAGTGGCGTGACTGCCACACTTCTGTGATTATACAACACGGTCTGAATGTTGAAATAAACTACGAAACTTTTTTTTTATTTTACCAAGTAAGGCCCACTGAGCTATAATAGCTGTTTTTCAAAACTACCTAGCTGTCACCAATGATAGCCCAACGAAGTACCTTATCGCGTGGAAATTTATAGCAGCCAAATACTCTAAATACATGTTGATTCTAGATGTGGAGAGAAACACTGGAGGACCCAGAGAAAAATCCACACGGTCACAGGGAGAACACACAAACTCCAAATATACAGCAGGCGTCAGGGTTGATATTGAACCCACGACCTCCTCTATACCAGGCGAGGTAGTTAACATCTCGCCACTATAGTGCCCCTATGTGGCCTGCATGCTAGAGTAGCCTTTACTTATATTAGTGTGTTTCACTTTCCCCGATGTGTTTTATTTCTTTAGTTTTTCACGCCTTGTCGCATGTTATGTTTTGAGTGAAGTCCATTTAAATAAAACATGTATGACTGCCGGATGACCTTTGGGTTAATTTTGTATGTGTTTTTTTTATTTGGTTTTTACATTCATGTGTACCATTTTTGCAGGGTATGTTCTATGGATGAAGATGCTTGTAGATTTCACGTGAAAACTGTAAGCATATAGGGATTGTTTTTTTCATGTATTCTTACGTTTTATGCATACTGCACTCAAAGGTTACCGATACCAACAGGACAAAGTCATGTGATGCTGGATTTATTTTTATTTTTTTATGGTAATCCATGAATTTTGTTAAAAGTTCAATACACTTCTCAACAACATTGACTTAATAGGGGAAGAATCAGTATTGTTGACAAGTGTGAGCTTTTGTTAACTGTGCTTTGTGCACCACTGCCAACACAGCATCACCACCACCACTTCTTTGGCAGTGCATTTAGCACACTGTACTATGAACCCAGCAACCCAAGTTCAATTCCTGACCACAGCCAACATCCGTGGCGGATAGTATCTGAACTAATGCCGCTACACCACCCCTCATCCCTCCCCCCTCTCCTTTCACCAACCCGCACTGAGCAACGTATTGAAGTATGACCAAACAATTCTCATCGAGCAGTGGGTTGACAGTTCTGAAAAGCGACATATTTGTGTGCTCTTAAGAAGGGCCATTGCCCGAAACAATGCCTATTATAGTTATATATTTTTCCCTTTTGAAGGCAGTGTTTTTTCACAATGTTTTTTTGCATTTAGCTACTTATGAATGTGTTGAAGTGTGTGTCAATTTTACATCTGTATATTTTTTGATTATTAAATAGATCGCCTGTGTGTCTGAGTGGGATTATTTCACATCAGAACACTCATCTAGCTCTTCCTCAGATAGTAGGTTTGAGTCTCTGTGTTGATGTCACCTTCAATTATAAAGTTGCAATTGATTATATAATTCCAAAGCCATCCATGATCATTAAATAAATATCACAGAGCAAAACAAAAACTATTTCTGCAACAAATAGCACATTCTAATGTTCAACATCGTCTTATTTTAATCGACTGGGAGTTATGAAGAAGAGCTTTGGTGATTTGGCCAATTAATATTTCTGACGTGAGCATGGTATTATGACATGCTGAACATTCATCTGCCACTAACACTCTGGTAGCATTCCAATCTGGCTACCCGGAAAATATAACCTCTTATTCTTGGCTCTTTCGGTAAAGTCACGTTGAAGGGAAACAATAAAATATATAAAACAATAAAATTCTCACGACGTTTCGACTGCAACACAAGAAGTCATCATCAGGTGTGAAAACCAACGAAAGCTTTAAATCAAAATTTGAGGCGTGGTTATGTTGAAGAAGGCAGGCGGGGATGTCGAAGGGGGTGGAGCGGTGCCGTTGGTTTTCACACCTGATGATGACTGCTTGTGTTGCAGTCGAAACGTCGTGTTAATTTAATTGTTTTATATATATTTTATTATTTTATTGTTTCCCTTCAACGTGACTTTACCGAAATAACTAGGAATATGAATCACTGCAGTCACGAAAGCTTTAAATCAAAATATAGCCTCTTGTTAACAGTTGCAATGAGTTGAATTAGGGAATTATCCCCATCACATACGAGGTGTGTTTGTGTTCGTGCTCGTTAAAACAGCACTTGCCCCAATTGTCTGTCAAGGCTATACGGGGTGCGGGATCTTCATTCTATGTTTTGTTCGTGCAGGCAAGCCTACTGGTGTATGACATCCCGGATCTGGAGGAGGGGCGGTTCAGTATCTTAGGCTCCGTGGCTTTCTCAGAGTCCTTCCTGGACTCGCGAGTGCCCGTGCAGGCTGCCGGTGAGCAAGGGTGGAGGGGGGTCGGAGATGCGATGCGCAAACACACACACAGACGCACACACACACACAGACGCACACACACACAGACGCACACACACACAGACGTACACGTACACACAAACAGACGCTCAACTCCTTCCTAAAATAGGGGCGTGGTGAGCAAAAGTGTCGCGGTGTCAAACGGCTGGAGGGGGGCGATCGAGAACTGAGCGAGTCGGGGGTCCGGTCCCATGCAGTGGCTCTTTGGCTGCAACCCCTCTGCGAGCAGCCGTTTTTTTTACTTAAATTTTCAACACAAATTAACGTAAAGGTAATTGATTCAATATGGCAGGGAATGGGTTCACTATGGAATGTCTTGGTGACAACAAAAAGTACAACAGTCAAACTGTATATTCTTTGGGTCTTTCGGTAAAGCCACGTAGATAGAAAAATAATAAAATCATCACGACGTTTCGATCGCAACACAAGCAATCGTCCTGCCTCGGCAGCTCTCTCACTATATTTTTTCACCTGATAACAATTGCTTGTGTTGCGATCGAAACGTGATAATTTTATTATTTTTCTATCTACGTGGCTTTACCGAAAGACCCAAAGAATATGAATTTCTGCAGTCACGAAAGCTTTAAGTCAAGAGTCAAACTGTATTTGTTAAAGAATAACTAAGGGGGGGGGAAAACGAAATAGGCGCAGTTTAGTCCATCACTTATTTTGTTTATTTCAGTCAGAATGTGTTTGTCATCTGCTGTGTACCGGCTATGTTTGTGCACGTGTACAAGTGGCTCAGCGTGTGATGCGGCTGTCGAACTATTTTGGTCAATGACAAAAACAAAACAATGGCCCTCCTTCTTTCTTTGAAAGGTTGCCGATCCCTGGTCTCGTCGATGGCACCATGTGGAACTTCAGTCATGTTTTAGTCTGTGGATCTTATTTCGTGGCCAGAATAACAGAATACTGACGAAATTCACTCTTCGTGTCCGCAGACTGAATAAAATTCGCAGACTGTGACTTGACAAAAAATCCAGAGGTTGGCTTGGACTAATGAAAAAATAGCCGCATGGAGGGTTTGTGTCAGGGGCAGTAACTACTGAAAACTCTGCTCAACGGTTGTGATATCTAGGATCTCTTCTAAGGCTCCGTGGGACAAGGGGAGAAGCACCGATACAATATACTATATCTGCATGCCATTGAAAATGATGGCTAAATCACTCTGGCAAAATGGACAAAAACTACAATGCATGCTTTTAAATGATGTTATATTTCAGGATTTTTGTTCTGTTGTTGCAATCTTACCTTAGAAGTTATACACTTTAAGTTCTTCATCCTAATTAGCATTGTGTGTTCACTGTGCGTCCCCGCTGTGTGAGTGCATAGATGGGAGTCTGTCTGTAGATGGTAAATGCGCGATCCTCACCGCAAACATCCCCCGCTATACCTCCTGGCTCGTAAGTAGAGTCTATAATTAAGACCCCCCCCCCTTCTCCCACTAAGAGTCTTCTGTAACGTCTGTACCACACCAAGAGGCCACCACCTAAAGTTAACTGTTATGGTATGCTCAATGAAAGGATGAGACATTTGCCATCATCCGCTCAATATTAATCAGCTTTTGTAACAATATTTGCACTGGCGCGTTAATCACAGTTCACCATTCAGATCTTGTTCTTGCCAGAATATTAAACTATGTTTGAGTTTTATGATGTATCCTGTCGTTTAAGATCATCATACGTTTGGTTCGTCGTACGTTCAACTTATTTCGCACTGTACATTGCCAAACCGGGTCACATCGTGCATATTGGCTTTATAGGATGTGATATTGGCATGCAATTTCACATTGGTAACTTGTGAACTTTATAATTATATATTTTTGGAGGAACTATGCTGTCTAAAGAATGCAACTTTTTATTGCCAGGTTGAAGAAGCTGGAGTAATTCTGTCTGAAAAGGCACAAGAAATTATTAAAGTGAGTTGTGTTTTTGCTTTATCGGAGATTATTAAAATCATCTTGAAAGGCATATTATTAAGTGGAGAGTGATGCAGTCTTCCCGCTTAATGACTTCGTTTCCATTCCATTTTTAAAACTTGCAACGCGCACAAATTGAACTTGAAGAGGATATACAGAGGCGCGTGAGAGTACATGAAAGAAAGATAAAAGTCTTGAGATTGTAACAAGTGTTCGATACTGAAAGCGATGTGGGCAACGATAGAAGAGGACCGTGTGAATTCCAGACGCTGGGAACTGCGCTATTCGTCTTGCTGTCTGGTTTCGAGGGATGGGGCTTGGTGAGCGGAAGGCCCCTTGAGGCCGATCGCGGAGGTTACGAGATGGAACGAACGATGAGACGGCGGAAGCTAAACGTGCCGGTTAACTGGGCACGTGTGTGCGCTCTGTAACATAACTAACGCAGTGGTTGGCGTGCTGTACTGCCAACCCGGCAACTCGACTTCGATTCCCGCTCGCGGCCAACACCGGTGACAATTATCTGAACTAGTTCTGGGCCTCCCCTAGATCCACCCAGCCTAAAATGAGTGTCTGGTGCGGTGTGTATACATTAGCACTGGGGAGACAAAGGCGGCCGGGCGTGGTGTTGGCCACCGCCTTGTGTGCTGTGGTGGCCTTCGTAGGTATTTGGTTCATCATCCAGGAGAATATTTATGTACGCTTATTTTAAAAGAGAGCTGTTTGTCACAAAGTGTTTGGATTTGTGCTGTGTCGTTGTAATTGGTTGTATTTATATTGCTTGGCATGTGATAGTTGTTGTTTAATAAACACTGATTGAAGGGTGACGGATGCGGGCTGCTTGGAAAGCGGATTGCTGGCCCGGATCTGGCTTACATCCATTGCAGCAGCCCTTTCAGCAACCCCGAGGAAGGTACAAAGAGCCACTCACGTCATTGCCGCCCGACACCAGCATTACATAACCACGTGACGTTACTGCATTCCGTGAGGAGTCTCATAGCTTTCTTCTGTGACATTTTATTGTTTGTTTCATTCCCCCATGTCACGGTAGATTTAGATGTAGATATATGTCCATGTAGATCTACGCTGATTTCTTGAATTGTTGTGTTTTATGTATAGGCGTGGCATGTTTTACGCTCCACTTATGCAATCAAACTCCGTTTATCTGTGCTTAATGGGGGGTGGATGGACAGAAATGTCATCGAATGGGGCGTGGCCAGCAGGCAAGGGCGTGGGGAGCCTCGAGGGCATTTTGTGATATCACGTTTACACCACAGAATGAGGTCGCGACCATCAGGCGTTCGTCCCCGCAATCGCCAGTCCTGCGGGACCTCTCCTGACGTGACGTGGGTATGGGAAGGGAACTTGCTTACCATTGCGTTAGAAGAGACCACCCCTAAGTGCAGAAAGCACTGCATCGGCATTTTCACCCATACTTGTGATTTGGTTGTAGGAGTCAGTCCTAGGGTCTGCTCACCCACTTTACCCCGGATAACCCCAGATATTTGGAAGAATTTTCCACAACTAAATTTATCTGTGGTCCCGACCCCGGATAATTGGAAGTATTTTCTGAATAACTCCATTCAACCGTGGTCTGGACCATGCATCTTTGAAATTGCCATGCCCCCCGGATATTTTGAATAGAGAACCAGGTTTTCTGACCCTTGATTAAACAAATTCACGGATAATCGGGTCACGGATAACAAAGTCTCACTGTATATACACACTGCCAAAGGTGCAGTCATGATACCCATCGGTACTTATCGCGACAATACAAATTGCAGTGAAGGGTGAAACATGTTCTTGGTCTGTTTTCGAATATAAAGTCCTATAGTGTCATTCGCTGAAAAGGATGAGATTTGTGTTGGTTGCTGTCGTTAACTGAGCATAATCCGTTTATAAATGCTGCACTTTGTTGTTGCAGGCAAACTGACCCTGTTGTCCAGTGGGATTCTGTTTGTGCACCGCAAGTATGGCAGTGTGATTCTTCCCATGAGCCACATGACGGCTATCAAGTTCTACGATGGAGTAAGCACCACATCTAATTTATCTTAAACTAACCGGTAACCTTTTTACATACTAGACGGTGCCAATGAAATTTAGTTTCATTTGCCTTCCCTTGTAAAACTCCATCTGCCCCATTCACAAACGACTGGCTCTTTTTAACCCACGAGTGCTTAAAATAATTATAAATCAACACATTGATCAATAGCAGTGCCTTAAAACTAACAAAATTAAATACTGGTCGACATCCCGGGCAGTGGCCCTTCATAGCACCCAACAAGAGTTGCTTTGTTACCTTGATGGATATCCAGGTCGTACGTTTCACGATTAATTAAATTGCCACCTGCATAGAAGGAAAAAAAAACCTTTCTGCAGTATATATTCTTAGTTCTTTCGGTAAAGTCACGTTGAAGGGAAACAACAAAATATATATTTTATTAATATATATTTTATTATTTTGTTGTTTCCCTTCAACGTGACTTTACCGAAAGAACTAAGAATATGAATTACTGCAGTCACCAAAGCTTTAAATCAAAATCTTGTTTGGAGTTGTTGCGCATATCCCTTGACGACACATTTACAAGGGGTCAAGACGATGTCGAGGTCACTGATTGCTAAGTCTGTGGTATACCGTGGGGGCACGATGACTCCTCAACGAATGGCATTCTCTGAAAATAACGAGGGGTTTTTTTTTCTCTCCCCCCCCCCCCAACACACACACGAATATTCGTGCGGCTATTACATTGAACGTTAACGTAGCGCGAGGCGTGCTCGGTACAAAATTATATCGGCATCCTCGTTTTGGGTAACCTGATGAAGTGTACTCTTTAACTCTGGTTGTTATCGGCGTGTGCACAATCGCCGCAGGATTCCTGCAGTGTGGTGGCCATGGTGGTGATTGAGTACAAGAGGTCACTGCTGCCGTTTCTGCCCTTCCACCTGTCGGGCTCCACATTCAGCTTGGCCTTTGGCCTTATGCCCAAGTCAACAGCCTACAAGACATTCTACAGAGAGGTGTGTGTGTGTGTATATATGTATGTATGTCTAAAACTCCCGTGTTTGCGTCACTGGCTGGCGACCAAGGGCAGTAGCCTGTAGAGCAGTATCCTATTGAAAGAGCTTCAGGTTATTCTAACAGTGAAGCGTCCTCTGCTAGTTTTATTATGACTTGGTTTTACATTAGTCAACATACATTTTATGAAGGAGAATCATCGAGTGATATTGCAGTGGCGTTTTGTACGCAGCTTCATTCGCGTGGCGCGTTTCTATTGCTTAAGATACACCTTCGTTATCGTTTGCGAGGCTTACCTTGATAAGTTCATTCGTTTTTATGAAGTTTTATTGCACTTTAGAGACTGTAGGAATGGCTATACAGCCCAGTGCTTTGTTTGATGAATCACAAATGACGTCAAACAGCAGCAGTAAGAGCTAATCATTGACGCACATAAAGTATTTGTCTTTAAGTGACGGCAGTTGTAATTTGTCTGTAAACCTAAATGGTGCAATTTAATTTGCATGCAAAGCTAATAAACTCGTACAAAAAGACATTGAATCGGATGGGACCAAATGTACTTGAGATTAATCATCCCAATTCAAACACTGTTGCAAGGTTACGTGATAGTTTTAATCAGCTCGTAAATTGTAATAAACGAATTGATTGCGGGTTTGATCTGGGCGTTTTCTGCACGTGGTGAATATGCAGCAATGAAACGCAATTGAACAAATGGGATGGAATGTTCCAGTTGGAAGGTGATAAACGCAGTGTTAATGGAGGCGTTGTGTGTTGTGTGTATGATGTGTAAAGGTGCTATCATCTTGGCGAAATCGGGCAGAAGAGTTTGGTGTGGCGCTGAAAATGATCAGCCAGCAAGAGCTCTCGGAGCACGCCCAGCTGTAAGTCGTCATTAAACATCACCTTTGCGTACCCTTTTTCTTTCATGAAAAAAAAAATGTTTGAGAGGAATTGCATAGTAAACCACTTAATGTCACGCCGGTCTACCTGCACTGCCAAATATGCTGCGTTTTAATAAAATACAAACAAGCTCATGGCATCAATACCTTACATTGTTTTGCAACAAAGCCAGCAGTCAGTTTTTATGGGAGTTTTTTCAAGGGGGTTTTAAGTGAGTGCGCAACAGTAAATGTTTGTGTTTAGTGCGGCGGAACGCGTACATGATTTCACGCTGTTAAAAACGCCCCCAGTTACAATTTCTCCTTATGTTTGGGAGGGTGTCTAATGCTCTCCAACTATGGTCGTGATAACTCGTGCAAAGAAGATCCAATATAGGCAACATTTTTAGTGTAAAGTGCTGTTGTTGTTCGAGACTTATCCTATAAAAAACAAACAAATTGATCAAACGGTTGCCTTAAACGTCGTCATAAAAAAGCAGCGCGAAAAGGATTAGCTTTGCTGGTAAGGGTGTTGGCTTTGCTGGTAAGGGCGTTGGCTTTGCTGGTAAGGGCATTGGCTTTGCTGGTAAGGGCGTTGGCTTTGCTGGTAAGGGCGTTGGCTTTGCTGGTAAGGGCGTTGGCTTTGCTGGTAAGGGCGTTGGCTTTGCTAGTAAGGGTGTTGGCTTTGCTAGTAAGTGTGTTGGCTTTGCTGGTAAGGGCGTTGGCTTTGCTAGTAAGGGCATTGGCTTTGCTGGTAAGGGCGTTGGCTTTGCTGGTAAGGGCGTTGGCTTTGCTGGTAAGGGCGTTGGCTTTGCTGGTAAGGGCGTTGGCTTTGCTAGTAAGGGTGTTGGCTTTGCTGGTAAGGGCGTTGGCTTTGCTGGTAAGGGCGTTGGCTTTGCTGGTAAGGGTGTTAGCTTTGCTGGTAAGGGCGTTGGCTTTGCTAGTAAGTGTGTTGGCTTTGCTGGTAAGGGTGTTGGCTTTGTTGGTAAGGGCGTTGGCTTTGCTAGTAAGTGTGTTGGCTTTGCTGGTAAGGGCGTTGGCTTTGCTGGTAAGGGCGTTGGCTTTGCTAGTAAGGGCATTGGCTTTGCTGGTAAGGGCGTTGGCTTTGCTGGTAAGGGCGTTGGCTTTGCTGGTAAGGGCGTTGGCTTTGCTAGTAAGGGTGTTGGCTTTGCTGGTAAGGGCGTTGGCTTTGCTGGTAAGGGTGTTGGCTTTGCTGGTAAGGGTGTTAGCTTTGCTGGTAAGGGCGTTGGCTTTGCTAGTAAGTGTGTTGGCTTTGCTGGTAAGGGCGTTGGCTTTGCTGGTAAGGGCGTTGGCTTTGCTAGTAAGGGCATTGGCTTTGCTGGTAAGGGCGTTGGCTTTGCTAGTAAGGGCGTTGGCTTTGCTGGTAAGGGCGTTGGCTTTGCTAGTAAGGGTGTTGGCTTTGCTGGTAAGGGCGTTGGCTTTGCTGGTAAGGGCGTTGGCTTTGCTGGTAAGGGTGTTGGCTTTACCGGTTAGGGTATTGATATTATTACGTGCGGGTTGACGTCAATACTTGTGGCGACGTCATCTTGTTGTGTGACTTGTACGTATCGTTGTTATCGCCAATAACTTAGGCAAAGCGTTACAGAATCCATCCATATGCATGCTTTTTATTTTGTTGTTGTTACCCTCAGTTCAGGCTGTGTTTGTCACATTCTTGGTGGTTCGTATGGTGAAGTGACAGTTTTTGATTTAGAACATGAAAGTGAAGTTCAGTAAGATCACACGTTACCACTTATATGCAAATTGTATAAGCTGGTGGGTCTTCTTATCAGATTTGCCTTGTATGTTTACAGTTTGGTCACAGTTAGGAAATGGAATGGAACTTGGGTCAGTGATAAAATTGATGATTATGTTTTTTTACTGAAAGCTCAATGCTGATAGACCCTTTTGTTAGCAATGACACCGTGAAGAAAACTTGAGCTCGCTACAAAACCTTAAATGTTTTGAAGTCCCCGTTGATGGATGTGTCTGTGTGTACATGGGCTGTTTAAAAATTAAAACCGATATATAACTAATGTAATTTTTATGAATAGGCAATGTAAAAATGTCCTCATGGGGAAGTGGTTGTTGTCCTTACATGATGAATTGTCTGCCGGCGAACTCTACAGTTATCTTTTTTTTAACAATACAAGTTTCAAGATTTATTTCACCACGTGAGAACGCAAGAGACGGGAATGAAATATTGATTGCACGAGGGACCTGGTTGAGGGTATGGGTGATCTCGGCAGAAGTGTGTAATTTATACCTGCTCATATTGTCCAGGTATACTGCCCTGGAGACAAAGCGTGCCTCCACGTGCGTGGACTCAGTGGGGACTGGTCGGCCATCGATATACACGTCATTGCCTCATTTTGAAAAGTACGGCAAAGATTCGTTTCATACCTCCTATCCTTAACGTCTCTCAATTTGTTTGCCTTTTCTTACAGTTATGTTCGAATGATGCTATCAGTGTTGTCATTGGATAAAGGTTTCCATTTTGAATTCTCGCAGCTTGAAGCAGTGCTTCACCCCCAGCTCATAGAATGCCAATGGAAGATCGCATTGCAGAACTAACGTCACATGCAATAGGCAATGCACACTCGTGGGCCACGTTTTAATTCTCTGCAAGTATAGTTTGTTGCGTGTAATCCCAGCGGAATTCTGATTACGAGCTCGCTAACTTGAGAACCCGGTTCAATCGTGAATGGCTGCCTGCATTCAAGCCTCAGATTCTTTCCAGCAGTGCCATCACCTCCACGCTCTTGAGCCCTTGAACCACTCGGCCACCTTCTGTCCTTAACCTCTATTACAATTGTATTTTTTGCATCCATAACAGCACCGAATGATCTGGTCTGGAAAGTCAATTTAGTTGCTCAGAATCAAAATCACAATAATTATTTATACTGGAGGAATCCGATGAGCGATAACGCTCTTTTCATAGATGTCCGGTAGGGGCAGGTCAGAACGTTGATGTACTCATAATGTGCAGTGTTCTTATGGTTTAGCAATTAATATGAAATGTTTTCAAAATTGTGCATGTGCAAATGTTTACAAACCTTTAAACTGCTATATAGTTCAGTCTCATCGCTCAGTAATTCTTCAAAATACAGGAAAATAATCAGAACTGTGGAGCTATTAAACATAAGCGCGACATTTGAGTAGTTATCCTGCAAGGCCTTGGGTTACGTTTGCATGGCCCATTGTGTGAATGTTCTTACGCGTGTGCTTTTGTGCAAAGGTTCCTCAAGCACTTTGAAGTTAGCAGTGTGCTGATGGACCCCATCCTGTCCAGCCATTTCAAATTGCTGATAAATCCATCGGAGAATGAAAATCAAGCCAACGAAGACCTCCGTGGGAAGGTTAGTGTTTTGAATTTGAAGCATTTCATTGAAACACAATGCATGTACAAAAGCTAAAGTGTAACTAGAACAACATGACTGAGTCCTTCAAATACGTCACACATTAATGATTAAAAGTTATTTTTACTTATTTTAGTATTTTGTTGTTTCCATTTATTCACAAGCATCCAAATGCGACTTTATATTTAAGAGTACTGCGTGAAACGAGAGCTCACTTTCAACCCACATGCTTTGCCCTGTACATTCTGATTGTGTACATAAATTCTAACTCGGGAGCTCATAATTGGATGGCACGTAGTTTCATCATGGGAAGTGGTTTTAAGGTGGAACCCAGAGATGTGATGAATGAATGCATTTTGAAGAGTGGACCGTCTTATGCGTTGAGTGGCGTCTCCTCTTAGATGGTGATCACAATCATCACAGGCCTGCCCGGCAGCCATCGGGAGCGCCTCTGTGCTACTCTCGTCAACCTCAGCAAGGAGCATGATAGGTACAAGCAGCCACATGTACACCTACACCCGACGTTTCATGCCAATTCAACACCAAATGCAGTTTAAATAGTTTCTCTTACGGTTTCCGAACAAAGACGGTCACTGCGTCGAGCGCTTTCAGATGCGCTTCTGCAGCTATCTGGAATGCTCTTCCCTCCGATATTAAGAAGCCACTGGAGCTATGCACTTGTAAATGTAGTTTGAAAACTCTTTTTTTAGAACTGCTTTTCCTGTTTAGTTTGTTGTCCGTCCCCTACTCCTCCGATTAACACGGTTGGCTACGTACGGTGCGAAAGATGTTCAACATACATATGTAAGATAAGCATTTTTAAAACATCTTCCAGGGAAACTAAAATGCTGTTCCATTTGATTTGTTTTGTTAGTAATGTTTAAGTGTTCCAATAATAACCGTAACATGTGCAGTCACCTGGTTTGTGCTATACTGACAGGTTGTTGAACCTGGTGAATTGGTCTCAGATGATGTAACTTGCAGTGTAGTTCTGCTTGCAATAACATATACAACACCTTGAATGTTATTGGTTTAATTGGCAAGCGATGTACACGGTGCCCTAGAAAGGGCGGGATGGCTACCCCTGGGGGTCACAATATCTTGCTACGGCTCTCGATGCATAATGCACCGTGTGCATCGCTTTCCAATTAACCAATGACATTCAAGGTGCTGTTGTATATATTTGCATTGTGGACAGTCGTCATCCAAAGAGAGTTTAAAATTTTCTTGTGTTTTAAATGTTGCAAACCATCGTAGAGCCTTCTGCTGTTGGTAGTGCTGCTCAATCGGAGCACAGCTGGCTCAAAGGTAGCTTATCTACTCCCATTTGGGTCCAAGATGCATCAGCTGGAAAAGTATTGCTTCTGCCATGTGCTCCATCCTTCAAAGAGATTTGCATATCACATTCCCCCATAGAGAATGCGATGAACAGCTTGTGTTGACACATGTGAAATGGCATTACAATCTGTAGTATGTTGTTGTACAGAACAAAAATGTATTTATTCATGCAAAGTTCAGCTTATAAAGATGTATTCGCATTTTCTGTGAAGTAAAGTGAGTCAATTTGAAATATATACGATACATTTTTCTATGCTTAAGATTAATGAGCCAAAACATACTTGTGTGTGTATAAATAGAAAATCGTGGAGTGAAATAATCCACAGTTTGTATCCTGCGCATGAAGCGTGACACTTCCCCCCTGTAGTTGTTGTGCAATTAAATAATTAATCAAAATGTCACGGCGAACCAAAAATAGGGCTTCATTGTAACGCGGGGCTGCTACAGCGTTCGCATCCCCTGTGAAAAGACAATCAATTACGGCAATGCCTCCACAAGCCTCCAGTGGATTTGAAAGCGAGTCATGTTTTTGGAAAGAAGCATTGGTAGTGCAGTGCAACGTGCGGTGAATAGCATTTGCCCATGTGTCGGCAATGATGTCTCCTTGCGTTGTGTAGAGCCTTCCCTGTGTTTTAGAATGCACCTGCTGATGGGGTGTTGGGGGGTGCACACCAGCCCCTGTCCGCTGACCATGATTACGCATGGGTGCATTATGCATTCAACTTTGGCTGTGCATCTCGCGCTGCGTGGCATGCGGCGAATGATAGTTATGATTGCTTTAGCTCCACACTGATTTTTTTCAGTGTGTGTGATTGTTCCAGCACAAATTCAAGTGTCTTCCTGGTCAAGTTCTAATTCTTTCGGCATGGCAATACTGTACGTTCAGAAGATAAATGCCAGTGCCAAAGTCTGCTGGCCATGAGAGGGCTTCATGATGACTCACGTTGATATCTTGTGAGTCCTTCGATATTTAGTTGGTTACACTCAAAGACCTTGTCCGATCGGTTTCTTGCCCTTAAAAAAAGGGATTTTTTTTCCGGCATTTAGCTCTACCGATCATATTTGGGCACAAATGAACAAGGTCAATTTTGCCTAGTTGACGGTATTAGTTGTGTTTAAGGTGACGCGAAAACACGCCAGAAGGTTACCGTCTCCTCTCCATCCTGGTCGATGAGAGAAGGGTAACACACGCAGTGCTCAACTTCTAACACACCCGAGCTTACAAACACCCGCATTTACGAACGGGACCCAGAAACTCATTATGTTCGCAAGTCGAGGACTGCCCGTACTCATCTTGCGCTGGCAGCCCTGAGCTAGTGGTTGAAATTCCATGTTTGTATGGCTACGGGCAGTCGCTCCGTATGCCATGCACCTCTGTACGATGCGATAGAAGTTCAAAATGCATACATACATGTGTAGAGAGTCACTCAGAGACACTAATAGTAGGAGGCACTCTAATTATTATAGCCTTCACTGGCACAGGGAATAACTACACTCTGGTCAGGATAGTTAACAGGCTGCCTGACCAACGACGCCGAGGAGGTGAAGACGGTGACGAAGACTCCTGTCGCACGACGGGTTCCACTCCAAACAACAGCCGCGAACCTTGCTCGGGTTCTCTCGTTTATCCACCAAGCCCCCTTTTAGAACCTACCCGAAGGTTCTCGGCTTTACCCCACGTGCCCCCTCTGTCACCTTTGCCCCACCTCCATCTCTCTGGCTTATCACGTGACCTGCCGGCAGACAGGGCTGCTACAACAGCAGATCCCCTTCTCTGTCAGCAACCAGTGCTACACGCCATAGTGACCCATTCCATGTCACTACACATACATGCACAGTTATATGGCAAAGTAGAAAAGTGAGCAACGAATCTCTAACATTTGTGTTTGCTTCAATAATTTGTTGTAAAACATTGTCACCGCCGCAAATAATTAAAATCACAATGACATGATACATATATCTGATGAGATGAATAAATAACTCTTAAGTGGATGTTGTAATTTTTATGTAATTCGTAAGGGTTTGCAGAGGCGGCATAAAAAAAAAGTTTTGCTGCTGCATACCGTAAGAATGTTGCGACTTTGTCTATGCAAAAGAGGATTCTCTTTTGTAGAGATAGACCCTTTCATCTGCAAGCAATCCATCAACTCGAGCATTTAGCTTATTTATCTTATTACAAGCGTGCACCACAGCATCAGGCAAAGTTCATCTAAATAATACAATTAAGGCCGAAAGCTCACATTGCCATATAAAGTACAAATAAAGGGATGCTTTGAAGTGTCCATGCGTCTTTTTTTTAAATATATAAATCAACTGCTTCAGGAATTAGCAAAAGGGGCATTTTTTGGATGGTTAAGTGTCTCTACGTGTTATTTTGTTCACGCAAAAAAATTTCACGTCACACCTCGCTGATTTGTCTAGAGGGTTAAATCGGGTAAAAACAAGTTTTCATTGTGCGAAATAGAATACGTGATTAAGTGGCAATCGCCGTGGGCTCGTTGCAGTATCAACATGTTGAGTAGTAGCCAAGGGAGGGAACGCGCTAGAGTGGACGTCCACTGTACAGATGAAGCAATGAAATCGGTTTGCGTGCAGGTGCTGGGTGGATTGTAACATCACATCATGATCGTTAGAGAGTACCACGGCTTAGGGAGGCATTCATCCGGTTGTGGGTTGATCATGGCTACTGATGATGATGATGCCAGTGTAAACCAATGGAATTGCTTTTGGCGCGTTGACGAGATGTTAGTTCCCTCGCCTGAGTTGCAGGAGGTCGTTGGATTCTATCCCGACCCTGACCTGCATATTTGGAGTTCGCGTGTTCTCCCTGTGGTCGCGTGGATTTTTCTCTGGGTCCTCCGGTTTTTCCCTCCACATTAAGAATTGGCATGCGTTTAAAGTATTTGGCTGCTCTACATTTCCACGTGATAAGTCACTTCGTTGAGATATAATTTGTGGCCAGGTCACTTCTGAAAAAGAGCTATATAGCTCAGTGAGCCATACCTGGTAAAAAAATAATAATAATTAAGTCGTTTTAGAATTCCCAAAGTCCGTCCTCCACCCCCCCCCCCCCCACCCATTCGTGCCACGAGCTTCTTCCCAGAGCTCACAACGATCGGCCTCACGTTGTCGTGCAGATGGGCCGTGCTCCACAACGCTACGGAGAGCGGCGCGGAGCTGAACGCTGAGGCGCTGCAGCGCTACTTGAGCGGAGTCCTCCAGTCGCACCTCTACCGCAGCCCCCGCCACGCGCTCATCACCAGGAAGAAGCTGCGCATCCTCATGCTCACTCCGGGGTAATAGCTGCTTCTGATGCCACGGAGACGTTCGCGCGCACACACTGCACCCTCTCGTTGCGGCAAGATGGCGCATTGGTCACACTATCGCGTCATTGGTCATACTCGCGCGTCATTGGTCACACTCGCGCGTCACGGCAAAAAAGGGCCTGGTTTCGATTCGCGACTCGGGTGCCTCTTTCTGTGTGGCGTATGTCAGAAGCAGAGTCTTTTATTGAGGCTGGAGGAATCTGATGAGCACTGAAGCCCTTTTTCACAGATGTCCAGTGTGACATGTTCTCTTTTTGTATGTTCTCTCCCTGTTCTGCGTGGGTTTCCAGCGGGGTTCTGGTCCATAACTATATATAAAAAAAACATACAATATAACTGGTAGTGGCCATACTCTTTGGTTATTTCGGTAAAGTCACGTAGGTAGAAAAATAAAATAAAAAATAATATATCACGACGTTTTGATCGCAACACAAACGGTCGTCCTCAGGCTTGTGTTGCGATCAAAACGTCGTGATATATTATTTTTTATTAAATTTTTCTACCTACATGACTTTACCGAATGAACTAAAGAGTATGGATTACTGCAGTCACGAAAGCTTCAAATAGAGAATGGTAGTGGCCGTATATCCCATTTAAAGAAAAAAATACCTGCAAATTACTCGATGGGGATCACATACAGCAGCTCCCTGTCTGTGAAACTTTGCAGGACCCTCCTGAACAAGAGACTGTGAGGCTCTCGCAGGTAAACAAGTGTAGTGATAAATACAAATAAATAATCATTGCAATGGGCACCTCATAAAGCAATCACTCGGGTGATGGGTATCTATTTTTAATTACATATTATACACACTAATGCGGATTACATTTTATTACGCGTTATATTTTTCATATTTTCCAAACTAAACAGTGTAAATTATTTTGTTATTTTGACAAAAATTAAATTCATGTACTGTTTGTTTGATGAGACAATTTTGGTGTGGCTAAGTGCAAAGTCCAGCAACTAGGGGTTTGAGTGTAGTACTTTACCGCAGCTCCCTGAGTAATCCCTGGGCCACGTGATGTATAAAGGGCGCGGTAACTTGTGACCAGATGTAATGCAATCGCATTGTGATAAAAGTATTGTGTTGATTGGCGACTGTTGAGGAAGTTGACGTAAATCTATGACCACGATGATTGTGTGCAATTCGGATTGGATTGTTCTTTTTTGGTGTGGGCTCTAGGCGCGTGTTTGTGATAAGTCAGCAGCCACGTGTGTTTTGGCCGGGTCGCCATTTGAAAAAAATGGCCTCACCCAAATTGAGCCGAGCCGTGTGTCACAGCGATGGCATAAGGCAAGTGGTTCTTAACCTTTACCGCAGCGTTGCACCCTTTATGCAACAAAGTGATTGCACTTACGTGCCCGTGCTTAATTTGTGTTTCGACGATTTACCTTCGAAATAATTTGGCACGTCTCGCACCCCCAGAAAGGGCATCTCGCACCCCCAGGAGGTGCGTGATGCACCCCAGGTGAAGAAGCACTGACATAAGGAATACTCCAAAATGTTTATGCTTCCTCCTTGTTTTTATCTCAACATTTTTATTGAATTGTCATCAACAATTAGAATTAGCAGAAGCCTTTTTCCAAAACAATGTCACCTCGCACACAAGTCCTGAGAACAGCAGTGGCCAGTGTGCAGTTCTCAAGCACTCTGCTATAGATGCCCCATCCACCTTGCGGCCCCGGATTTGAAACCATTCGACCTGTTCATCCCTTTGAAGGATGAATGGCACGTTCCACATTTCGATCCCGTTACACGGCGGTCAAGGAATTCTGTTTCACAAACGATTACAGGACGAATCTTTCTGCCGTGCTCCTAGATGCACATTGCCACGAATGCATAACAATTATGTTTTGAAAAAGAGCCACGTTTTTCACGACCTATCCACGAATGATCATCAGAAATATTTCAGGAATTGATTGAAAAAAATACAGGGATATGAAACAGGAGGCATTAATGTTGGGGGAAGCGTTTACAAAGAATCGCTTCTTACAGCAGTAGCGTAATCGTTTTGTGTAAGAATTTCTTGCCTAGTTAAATTAGTGTGGGCTTTGGCATTGCAAGGTGGAGTGTGGGGAGGCCATCAGGAGTGGATAAACATGGTTAATGATGATGATCAAATTTTAATTGCTCTCCCCAATTCTCACGGCTTGCTTACCTGGTGTAAGAATTGCACATTAATATGAAACGTAAATACGTATTTTTAGATTGCATTAGCAATGAGCGGTACTTTAAAATTCGCTAATTGCAATCTGAGCTGCACTCCTGCATTGCCATTCTGCAGTGAGGGAGAGCATGCAGGACCTAATTACATGTTTAGAATTATATATATAATATATAATCTATATTAATTCTATATATGTCCACGCAACACTTGGTGTGTACTGTATGTTATATTGTAATGGTAAATCGTATGGCATTTAAGCCACGTTCTTAAGGAGCAGTTTGGTGAATGTAAAGTTGGATCATAAAATATATAATGCCTTGTAAAAAACGTAAACAATAAAAGGAACATCTCTTGTTAACGTAGTGCGTTTAACATGAAAAATATCGGTCGGAGTTGTTCAGTTATTGCCTCATAGTTTGGAACTGCCAGGTCAGTATTTGGCTATGAGCATGGTCATATCCTGTCTACATAAACACGGGTGTAGATTGGCTTATGTTTTGCACAGCTCAGACAATATGCATTACATATACTGCTTTGCTTCCATTAGCAAAAAATGTATAGTGTACATGGTGGTCCATTTATAGATACTCCACTAAAATAATAGCAAAATTTTTTGAAAAAACAACATTACATTTTTCTCGGCCACCAATCTCAATACACTTATTGCGTCTTTTCACATTCTCATCTGTAAGGAGCTATTGGTTTCACAATATTGTCGCTTGTTGGAAAGAATTGAGTCATTCGAAATCAGTATATGTATTTTTGGATCACCCTGTATAAATTAAAAGATACCCCATATAGTCTTAACAGACTGTTGGGGCAAGTGCGAGCAGCACCTATGAAGGCTAGGACGGCACACGAGGAGATTGGTGGCCAGCACCACACCTGGCCACCTTCGTCTCCCTTATGGCGATGTTTACACATCGCACCAGTAACTAATTTGAAGCTGAGTGGACCTAGAGGAGACCCAGGACCGGTTCAGGTAATCGTCACTGGTGTAGGTTGTGAGCGGGAATCCTTAACCTTCTAAATAATCTGCTCCCCTCTATACATATGTGTACACACACACACACCGTTGCATACGTACGACGATTGTATGGCTCACTCTCTTCTATTGTAATCTTTTAACAGCTTTGCAGATGTTGTGGATGTGGTCCAGGCAATTAGGACTCACCCAGATCCCACGGTTGGGTCGCACTTTGTAATTGGAGCCATAACAGCTTGCGTTAACCCTCTGGCTGCATGCATGGAGCACAGGTATGTACGTCACTCGCAACCTCCTGGTGGTGGAACGAACCGCAGAGTCGATGCGCCCACCTGCAAACACGAGCACCTTTATCAACATGACAATGAAAGATGGACAAAGTTTGTTTAAATATCGATGTTTTGATTGTTCCATTCGTTGCAACTAAAGGCTTTGATGTTATAGATTAAGCATTTCCCCTGTACTCATTACCCTAAGCATTCTTTTTTTTTGCAGTTAATCTATTTGTACCTTAGGTGGCACATTTAAATAGTTCTGCAATTCTCCAGCTTCTAGCCTGATTTGAAATGGCCTGTTTAAATTATTCTCGATAATTGGTAAAACTGTGCGGTTATGGCACAAACTTGTCAAATTGAAGAATTACCCATAATTATTATCAAATGACTACAAATTAATTATTCCTGTTCATGATTGTTCAGGTACGACGACCCTGTGCAGAGTTTTTTTTCATTTTTCATGTATTTGGTGTAGCCCTGTGAGCCATTCGGCTCTTGAATCGGGTGCAACTGCAACAAACAAAAACATGAACAGGAAAACATCTTAAAGCTAAATAGCTCACAACTTAATGAGGCAATAATTAATATACATATATACTCTCTTTCGGGAATTTGAATTTGCATAGTTTAAAACCCATTTTTATTTGTTTAGTTAAACACGTGTTGTGTGTATTAGAGTCTTTATTGCAACCAACATGAGCACACAATTGGAAGGCGCATTCATACACAAGTTTCACGATATCCAGCATTTTAACACTTCTTTAACATTCCCTACTCGTGTCAAGAGGCACATCAGCTTAGCACAGTCGGCTACGTACGGTGCGAAAGAAGTTGAAACATACATACATCAGACGCTACTGTGCTGAATCGTGCTATCCTGATCATATATATAACCGTTAGGCTTTACTTTAGACCATTCAGGTGACTGGCTGAAGCAATAGGGTCCCTTATTACGGAAACTCGTGTGGTATTTTGATCGTGCTTGGTTAGTTGGAATACCGTAGACCAGCGGTCCCCAATCTTTTTGGCACCAGGGGCCAGTTTCGTGGAAGACAATTTTTTACACGGACCGGGAGGGGGGGGTTCATCATTGGGTTTTTCTCCCTTTTCAAAGAAGCTCTCCAGCGACGTTTGTTTTAAACTCATTTTGGCTACTAGGGGTCAGCTTGTGGGCTTACCAACACTGTGACTGAGACAAGCGCGCAGTGCGGGAAAGAGGCGCGGACGGAAGTGGTGAATTATAAAATAATGGGGGGGCCACGCACGGACTCACCGCTCTCACCTCCTGCTGCTGTGCGGCCCGGGGGTTGGGGACCCCTGCCGTAGACAACTACTCCCATTTATATTTACTGCCCTGGTTTTTCCAACGGGTTATATGTTTTAGTGTTTTGCTCCAAAGGAAGCAGTACTGATGAAACTTAATGTAAACAGCTTACTTGACCTGACAAATGTTTATCTTACGAGTGGACCACAGTACCCGACTCGGAGCAGGTGTTGATGTGCTCGCCACAACATGAACATACGTAAACAGTATCTACATATAATGCTTAAAAAAATATGCACTATACAAATGTTACATATGGATTTAATTTCACTAGACACCTAAGCTATGACAGTTGTGATGTGGTTAAATGTGCAACTATTTAATAAATAGCTAGAATTTAACTCTTAATTGAATTTGGTAAAAATAGTCACCTTTAAACACAATGCCAAAATGGACTTAGGTGAATGTTGCCTCCGCTGTAATCCCTAAACTACAATTGTTATCCTGTACCATGAGTGGCAAATATTGAATGCAGTGCAATATATTTAGCCTCCACACCCACAGGGTGACAATTGTCAGCGTGCCGTCGGTCATGCACCTCTTCGTTTCTCTGCGCAACCCTAAAAAGGGCACTTGGTGTCAAAGTTATATTCTCTGTTGTTACCAGCACCACATTTGACTGGAATACTGCAGTTGAACTTATTTTTAAACTAGCGATGGAAATCGAATTGAGCTAACAGCCTGTGTCACCAAGTTATGGTTATGTCGTCACAATTATGTTAAGTTAGCAATACTGAATAGTTTGCATTCGATCGCAAGAGACCTAAAATATTAATTTCACTAAATAAGTAAGAAACTGGACTTGGTCAGGTGAACGTTGCCTACGCTGTTCTTTATGAACGAATTTTTTATTGTGATGTCAATTATGGCTGTTAAAGTTGATGAAGTACAACAAGTGGCACTGACTACTGAAGTGTATTTTGTAATTTGCATCTTAATAACTACAACACTAAGGGAGATGTGTGAAACACAATTTAGTTCAAATAAATTTGGCAGGCAAAAAGACCGTCGAGGTTTGAGAGGCAGCTGACATAGGCTACACGTTTACTGCTGAGCCACTTTCACAGGTTCAACAGTCCAAAAGTAAGAACTCTTTTGCCACCCAGTAATGATTGGGGGACTTTATTGTAAAACTCAATTTTTATTCGAATATTGATATTATTGGCTCAGAAATTATATCAGTTTTCATTCGCTCCAGTATATTCGAAGGGGTTTTTTTCCCCGTCATATACTGATTTGACCCAGTGGGGAAAAAAAATGTTTAAAATGAGTAATTGTACTACTTGCGCATTGTCAACAGATGGCAATAAAAAATAAAATTTTTAGCGTTTCAATAAAAAAATGTGCATAACAACTGCTCGGAATGCTCAAACGGTGTGTGTGTGTGTGTCTCTGTGTATTGAACAGCCTCACCTTTCCAAAACTACTCGAGCAGTGTGCACAAGGTCAGCGTTTTATGTCATTTTACTGGCGTTAAACTATAACGCATCATTTGCAAGATGTCACCGTTCAAATTCCGTATAGTGCAGTCAACACTCTGTATTTTACGTCATACTGCCAATAAACCAGAGCACGTAATTTGCAAGATGTCAGTGTTACTGTTCCAATACCTGTCCCGTGCGGGAAATGATTGAGAGTGAAGCTCGTCGAGTTGGGGCCAGGGAATCCAAGGAGATTTTGAATCTTTGAAAAGTAGCTCTTGTTTGTGTCTCCTTTCAAAGGTAGTATTGCGTGGTGCCACGGTGGTGTGATGTTAACTACCTCGCCTTGTATACAGGAGGTCTTGGGTTCGATCCCGACCCTGACGCCTGCTGTATATTTGGAGTTCGCATGTTCTCCCCGTGGTCGCGTGGATTTTTCTCCGGGTCCTCCGGTTTTTCCCTCCACATTTAGAATCAACATGTGTTTCGAATATTTGGGCTGCTATATATGCATTTCCATGTGACAAGTCATTACGTTGAGCAATCATTTGTGAAAGCCAGGTCGCTTCTGAAAAAGAGTGATATTGCTCAGTGTGCCTTGCCTGGTAAAATGAAAAATAGTTTAGTTCAGTTTATAGTTTTGAGGACAATTGCTGACCCTGACCTGCGGTGGATAACATACCTATTAACAGAATACATCGTATACTTGCTTAATAAAAGTGCAATAAAAAATGTTTTACATGTCGGCCTCTCCTGATTTGACCATTGCACGAAGTAGCTCGAGTTGCTAATGCAATCTATACTCTTTGGTTCTTTCGGTAAAATCATCTAAATCACTTCATATCTGTCGTTTGCAAATGACAATACAGCTACACCATAAATAATTTCTTAAGTCCATCCCTCTTTCACAAAGCAGTGCAATTGTAATGCAAAATACGAATATTCAAATATAATTTAAGGATAACATGATGTAAACAAAACGCCGTGGTAGAGGTTTTAGAATCACCGACTTGAGTTGTCAATCGATGTTCAGTCACCGCGTTGATGGATGGCATTAGACAGAGTGGGCCACGTGAAGTCTGCAACCTTCACTCCAGCCCATCACTGATGTCGTGAGTCAAAGCAAAGTTGGGCAAAACAGAGTATGGCAACAGAGGCTTTGGTCTGTCTGTATTGCAGTTCAACAAATCTCGTTGCAAGTTACTTGTCTGTGTTTTGACACGGAACCGGACTGGATTCTCAACAAGGCGATGCACAAGTAATACGACCTGGCGGGTGTCGCTTTGACTTTGCGGTGTTCTGGACATGCAGGCTGGGCCAGTAACGTGGTGCTGACGGGCCCCAACCACGAGAAGCAGCACCCCCGCGTCAAGCAGCTCAAGGAGCTGATACGCCTGGTCAACCCCAGCGCCGCACTCATCCAGGCAGAGAACGGCAATGTCAGCAGGTACCGAGAAGGACTCTTTAGTAGGGGGTATTTTTTTTTACAGCTCGTTGGCTAAAGGGTAAACGTTCTTCTCAACTGAAGGTCGTTTTGTGTTTTTTTGACGGAATTGGCCGTCTTTGTTTCTTGCTGCCGAGAGGTTTTGCTCCAGATGGCAATTGTTGTTGTTCGTTAGCTTTTCCCTTACTTTGGTGGGGAGGTTACGGTTGTGTTCTGGGTTTTTTGGAGATGTTCCTGTAGTACAGTTCGTACACACGAAGGGTTGCCGCTTGCGTTTCTAGTTTTGGCACTGGTATTTTTTCCAAACGCTTGTGTTTATAGCGGTGGGTGAGAATCAGCACGGGTATTTAGATTTCACCCTCCTCTTTCCTCCTTTATTTACACGAATAGTTGAAATATTTTCATTATATATGTCATATGCCCTAGAGAAGCTCGGCTATTGTCTGGTTGCATCTGCCTTTTGGAAAAATAATAAATATTAATGGATGATTAACGCCCAACGCAATGTTTTCCTGTTTTCCTTTCAGCATCGGCTTTGAAGTGATTGTCGAGGCCGAACTGCAAATGGCAATGCTCATTTTATAATAGTCTGAATTAGGGTCAACCCAATAAAGTTGAACCCTTGTAAGCAGTAACCACTTTTTTAAATTGAAGCCATTGCTGAAGATTTCTATAGCATTTGCGGTTGTTTGCCGGTCAGCGCAGTTGAACTTGTGCGTGACGTAATTTGGCGACGGCCCTGTGTTTTGCTATTTCACATGTTGCTAAGCTGGATTGTCTGGGCACAGAGGAGTTCATTATCATGCGTTTTAACATTTAATAATGGCAATGGCACCCGCAAGTAGGCAATGCAAGCCTGATGCCACAGCAGAAGTGGCTATTAAACAGCCTGATGGGACAGTCTGGTTATTATGAAACAAAAATTGTTAATGTTAATTCTGCCTGCATGGCCCCCGCATGACCACTGGCATGACCACAACATGTAATGCGGGAAAGAACAGAAGGGCCATTGCTCAAAATGTCGCCGATTTTATATATATACTTTAATCCTTTCAGGCTGTGTTGCTCACAAGCGTGTTTAAATTGTTGTTGTTGTGCTTTTGTGCACCACTGCCAATGCAGCAGAATCACCAAATTATGTTTTTTCTTTGAGGTTGTGCAATGGTATATGACTGCATTTCTGAAGAAGTAAAAAAAAAACTTCTTCCAAATTTGGGTACAGAATGTAATTTTTATTATTATTTAGCAACCTTTACCAATGACAATGTAGTTATGGTGGTATTATACCTAGTTCTAACTGTTTGATCAGCAGGTCACGTATGATGGATTTTCTCACCTGTGCCAGCATGGAAGAGTAGGCCAAATACCGTCTAGTGGAGGCCCTTCGGTCATCAGTGGCATGAGCGTGGCAGGGCTGCACCATTGCCTTTTATATTTGCAATGCAGCTATTGTTTCGCCTCTCCTATTTCTATCAAACCAAATACCCCAAATACACTGGTTGATTTCTCTGGGTGTAACTACATGTACAAACTATATATATATATACATATTCTTTGGGTCTTTCGGTAATGTCATGTAGATAAGTTACATTTTTTGTAACTTTTTTGAACCTATCTATGTGACTTTACCAAAAGACCCAAAGAATATGAATTCCGGCAGTCACGAAAGCTTTAAGTCAAGATCTATATACACACACACACCTTGACCTGTATAAGGTGTGTAAAAGTACCGGATAAAAGTTGTTGATGGTGTGCCCACCTGTTTGTTGGCAGGGATTCACACGTCGTGTCTTGTTTGTGAACAGGAACGAGGACATTGAGATGATTCTGTCTGAGAACAGCTTCAATGATGCGGCCATGGTTCGTGCTCGTCACTTGCTGACTCCGGGTTGGTGAGTTACAATCGATTGTGTCCGCTCAACCATAGAAGAGTGTGAAAACAATTCGTTCCTACACAGGTGCGTGTCATCATTCAGAAGCCAGCACGTCCCCCGTGTGCTGCTCTCGTATAATTCAACAAATTATTTGGCGCCTTATTTAGCACTTACTTTGTGTGTGTGTGTGTGTGTTGTTTAAGTGCACTTGTTGAGCACAGGCGCCAACACCTCAAACGGCTGGCAACAACAGCGTTGAGTGTGCAATAGACATGAGGCGATGACGTTTCTTAAATTGACAATTGGGGAATTGGGAAAAAGAGACGAATGGGTGAAAATGTATGTAAATATGTATGTTGAACTTCTTTCACACCGTACGTTGCCAACCGCGCTAATTGGAGGTGCAGGGGAAGGACAATAAACTAAACACAAAAAGCAGTTAGAAATAAAATAGTTTTCAATCTAGATTTAAAAGTGCTTGGCTTCCTAATGTCGTCAGGAAGAGCATTCCAGACGGCCGCAGAAGCGCGTCCAAAAGCGCGCGATGCGGTGACCGTCTTTGCTCGATGGCCAGCCTAAAGTCGCTGCTGCGAGGAAGACCGGAGTGTCACGTGATGGTTTATGCTCCTTGACGAGATCAGCAAGCTATTGTGGATCATTTTCGGCAAGCACTTTGTGTGTAATGAGTGTGACCTCGTCACGTGATCATTCGGTAACTTCAAGCCAATGCGGCTCGGCGAGCACTGGACGGACATAGTCAGATCTTGAAATATCCGTCACGACACGTACCAGAGAAATTTGTACAGGCTGCAGCTAGTTAAAAATGTCAAAGAGTCGGGCAGTGCGAGGCAGAAAGCAGAGAGAGACGAGTGTTTGCGATCCGCACGTATGGTGAGTGCATTCGTAAGCGAGCACGTGAGAGTTCCCCGGTGGCTTGAGCGAGTTCGTAAAACATAAACCATGACAGCAACCGCATTAAATGTATGATTAACAAACCTCTTGTCGCATTCCTCTCCTTTGGAAAAATGGGTACGTGAGTGTATGCTGACTTTACGTGTGTTTTAGGGTGAGTTTGCGCAAGACGTATCACTGGCAGGCATACGCATGTATGGATTTGCATGTACGTAATATGACCTCTAAAGATTATAGCCTGCTAAGAGATGATGAGCAGAATTATAGCATTCATGGCTTTTATGGAGAAGCAGAAATGTAAGTCGGAATACTCTAAAACATGAGAAGAGATGAGCTTTTACGTCTCTGCGAGGAGGGGGAAGGCGTACATGCGACGTGCTGTCACAGGGTTTGCGTGTAATCAGTGCAACTTCATACCATGATAAGCACTATAAGATGAATTGTCACATTTGCTCTTAATCTGGGTCTCCAATGAAAAACAGGATTTAGTTTTGGTGGGCTGTCCCTGTCAGCATGCACGTTCATTGCTATGCATACCGTTTAAATAATGAAACCAATTGAAATAACTCTCAAATATAATTAGGTTCAATCAACGTGTCCTGTATTACTTTTGGGATCCAGGTCTGCCTTGAATAAAAGCCTCCTCGTTCCAATGGGCTATATAATTTAAACTCGTGGATGTCTATGGAAAACTAAATCTCAGCAAATTCATCATAGGCGATGTTTCAGGCAATGGTCCTTTTTTGTAGCATACAAATGATCACATTGACGAATACGAGTTCTTTCGTTAACTATGCCTGTGCAGCACTGTCAATGCAGCATCAACAGATACATTTCTTCAATTGTGGAGAACTCAGCATTTTTGCCTTTTATTATCAGATATTTTTACTCTGCAAGTGCAGTTACACGGGAGTGCAACAACATTGCTGAGTTTTATTGTTTTATATTTTTATTATTTTATTGTTTCCCTTCTACGTGACTTTACCGAAAGAATCAAGAATATTAACCGTTCCATTATTCTTTCATGTAAAACCTAGCTTTATTGGGTCATTTATAATGCGATTTGAAGACTTCATACAGCATCTATATAATTTTAGTTTCAACTGACAGCTTGACGGTTGTAATGAGGTACTCAGTTCTTACATGCATTCCCTATACGGAGTATTTATACGCACAGTTCTGACTGTTTACCTTTTGTTTTCTTCGTCGGCAGGGCAAGTGGCATGTTTAGCTCAGGGGCGGCGTGCCCTGCCATGCAGCAGATCTCTGTTCGCTTCAACCGTCCCCTGGAGAAACCACTGTTCATCGGTCAATGCAAAGGTGTGCACCGCTTTTAAAACTTTTTTTATTTTACCAGGTAAGGGCCCCACTGTGATATACAAGCTGTTTTTCGGAAGTTAACATCTGCCCACCACGACGCCACTGCTTACGTGGCGAACCAAGCTGTTAAACGGTGACCTTGCGAGGTGGTGCTTGTGTGTGCGCTGTTAACCGGACATGCAGTCGCGCAACGGTTAACGTGCACCGCAATTATGAACCCAGCGACCTCATTTGGCCCTGGGCTAACGTCGGCGGAGAGTTTTATGTGAACCAGGTACTGGGCACCCCACCGACAGCAACCCGTACTGTGAGACCAGCGTGGTGAAGTATGGTGAAGCAACCCCTGTGACCGACACAGCACGAGGGGAGGCCTTCATCCAGCAGTAGAGTAACAGAGGACTGGAAATTATTACGAATATGTATTCTTACTCACAGGCGGGAGAGCAGCCCCACATCTTTAGGAAGTAAATAAAAAATTGATGCAGGTGTTTTACAGCGCACTCTGACATCCATAAAAAAAATTATCTGTAAAAACCTGTGTTCTTTCTGGGGAATGGGGTTGTGCAAAACGGAGCCATTTACGAGAGGTCATTGCTGCTCTTGTTAACTGAGAAGTCAAAGCAACGCTTTCTTGATGGTTAAGTTTATTACAGTGGTCATTGTCAGAGTACTGAGATATAAAACGGTCAATTCTTTACCCATCACTAATGCTACGTAGTTTTGTTTCTCAGAGCAAATGCGAACCTCTTTAAGATGACATTCGTATGAATTTAAATGTTAGCGCCACTCTAATGTGGCCATGTTGCAGCAAATGTTTTATTCATGTGTGTAGTGCACAAAGCGCACTTCATAGTGTGAACAGGCCTATTCTGCATGTCTTCAATAGCCCTGAAAGGCATGCTGTCTTCAAGCCCTTTTTGTGGGAACATCTACAGCATACAAGGCCGGCTGAAGTTTTCAGGTAATGTATTCATTCTCTAGCGCCTTATATTCACATTAACATTTTTGGCAAAATTACATTTAACATCTTGTGCAGCTGCACAGTGCCTTCTGGACTAGATTCGTTTGCTTTTGGAATACTAAAAACATTCAATCTAGTCTTAAGGCCTGTCTAAACATTTGCAGTGCCCACAGTGTGAATGTTGCAACTCCACAAAGCAGTTTGTTGTAAAATATAGTTGCCAATTATGCAAACATCCACGTAAGTTCAAATGGTGAGAATGAAACCACACCATTGCTCATTAAAACCTGTGTTAGAGCCTCATACAAAGGCCTTTCCCGCAAAAAAACCAAAGCATCCGTCAACTCGCTTTTATCTTCAGTCTTGCTTGACTCTCCTCGGTTTGTACGCAGGGAATGGCATCCTTCATCCTGCTGCTATGTACTTCGGCCTTGCTTGATCCTCCTCGGTTTGTCAATCCCAGATTCGCCCAAGGTGGTGGAGGTGAGCCACGTCACCCTGGCCAACAATTCGCTGACGCTGACGGCGACGCGGGAAGGCCCCGTCCCACGCCCCCCACCCGCCCCGAGGGGCAGCGGTGGCCTCGTCGGCGGCGACGGGCAGTCTGCCGATGGCACGGGAATGCACCCGGAAGGACGGTATCACCTGGTGTTCACGGGCTGTGGATTGAGAGAGGAATGCCTAAAGGACTGGCTCCGGCGCTCGGCCAAGCAGGTGCCACACCAACCGGCGCGTCCCTGGCCAGTGCCGCCCGTAAAACCGTCGGCATAACCGTTTTGTTTTGACGAGCGTGTAATAAATGGTGACACATTGGGCCAAAGGATTTTGCTGTTCAGCATGGAGGCGTAAAAGTGGGGACTCTTTTAAAATGTACCGCTTGCAATTCTCCACATTTCCACGGGGATAATTCGCTTGTTCTGTACTGGCGGGATTGAATGTGACCGTGTGGTTCTTCTACATCAATCGCAAATGGTCTCGCACTACAGATATATAATAACCCTTCGTGCAGCACATCTTTTATGGAGATGAGATTTGAACAGATTAATTCACAACTGTTCACAGAAACCACTGGGGTATTTTACAATAGCCCAGCGTGTCGCACAAGCTTGGTTTCAAAAGCACACAACGATATGCACGTGCCATTGGGGAGGGATATGTGTGTGTGTGTGAGTGGTGGCGAGGTGAGGAGGTGGTGGCACAGTGGTTAGCGTGGCACAGCGCTGGATGAGAATCCCCCGGCAATCCAAGTAGCGATTCCCGCTCACGACCAACACCAGTGACGATTATCGGAACTGGTCCTGGGCCTCACCTCACCTGGATCAACTCGGCCGCAAATGAGTACCTGGTGCGATGTCTAAACATTGCCAATAGGGAGACAAAGACGGCCGGGCATGGTGCTGGCCACCCACCTACTCATGTGCCCGTGCCGGCCTTCATAGGCGCTCGCTCACAGCACTTGCCCCAAAATTGTGTTAAGGCTATACAGGGGATCTTAGTCTTTGATGGTGGGGTGGAAGCTACCCCACTAATGCTGCTTGCATAATGTGACAACTGCGACTACTATCTGGGGATATGGTATACTCTATATTAACATGTCGATTAAGATATTAAACATGAAAGGCTTGTATTCTTCACATGAAAAGCAATGCATGCTTTAACCAAACAAACTACACTTTTGTAAACTTTAGATAACTCAAATCTAAAGATTGCCGTTGATGTTTGATCATTTGTCTCGACTGTTTGCACTTTGTTACCAGATAACAAAAAACAAAACTATAAAGACAAAAGAATCGCTGACCCAGAAGGAGCTGATGAGCATTCACGTGAGTTTCTATGAATAGCATTGCCACCCAAGGCATAACACTACTTACCTCCAGACTCAACCAATCGCTACTCCACACTGTGATCATGCACAGCAGATCAATGTCATAATGTTTACCGTTACATTTTATTTGGGATGCCAACGTTAATGCAGCCAGCAGCGCAGACAACCACGTTGCGTGTTATTGATACAACAGTGACATTGAGGCACAGCGTGGAGGAGCTGAACTATGCTCCTGTCCAAAATTACAGCATTATAGTTAGCGGCCTCAATTGCTAAGGCGCCATGGCTAATTACCGCTTTTAATTTCAAGGAAGCATGTTCTGCCCAAGGGTTATTTATGCACAGAGATATTTTTGGTCTAAATATTTCTAAAGGAGATAATTAATTCCACCACCAATAATAATAATTACACCACGCAGATACGGGCAGTTGAATCACCTGGCTGTCAGACTGCAGGCCATCGAGCCAATTTTCACGCGGTTGACTTTTCAGTTTCCTGTCACTAACATTTGACCTCTGTGAGCAATTAATAAATCGCTAAGTGGATGTTAAAGACCATGTTATGTTAATTACACAAGTAGGCTGTTCTGTGAAAGATTAATATTCCAATCCCTAAATATGAAAATTACCTTCAGGTGTGAAAACCAATTTCCGTTGGTTTTCACACCTGATGATGACCGTTTGTGTTATGGTCGAAACGTCGTGAGAATTTTTATTGTTTTATATATATTTTATTGTTTCCCTTCAACGTGACTTTACTGAAAGAGCTAAGAATATGAATATAGCAAAATAGTAATTAAATATTGCCTTTTTAAGTTATTACATTGAGCTCTTTTGTATAGAAGATAATCATTCTGAATGGGGTTTCACCTGTTTAAATACAGGACCTTTGTGTATGTGGTGATTTTACACACCAGCACTGTGTCTACATGCACAATATGTATGTGTACAACTGTACACGCAAGGCAAAAAAAATAAGCATACAAATGTACCTATGTATGCACTTCTTTCGCACTGTACATAGCCAAACGAGCTAATCGGAGGTGTATATTAAATAAGATAATGAACAACACTGAACCGCACTGCAGCAGACTGCAAGTGGGGAGTGCTAATCCATTGCAACTTAATTCTGGCTGTGTCCGGTACAATATTTCGCAGGCCACAAGACACCTGGACCCCTTGCCTCCAGGCTACTTTTACAATGGAATGCAATTCATTAACTTCTTTGGAGAGAAAAGCAATCAACACCCTTGTATCCTTTTGAGCATTCGTTTTACACGTCTGATGTTGGGGAGGGGGGTGTAAACAGCTTTCGGAAATATTGTTAGCCGATGTCTGTACGTGTGTGTGTGTCAGTCAGAATGCTTTACGGTTGTGCAGCGATGTGTCCGTCTGGCTATTTGTAAGCTGTTCAATTTTCAGGTTTATTATTGAGAACTCACGAGACCAGGATATAGTCTCGTTTTGGAAGCGTGACCTGGGTCGCCAAAAATATTGCAAAAAATCAAAACACATACAACAATAAAGTAGAGCAACAGAGCAATAAATATTATCGATGTGTATAATCATAGAGAGTTACTGGTGGCAGCAAGAGCTTGAATAATTAGTGTAATGTTAGAATAACTCCCATCATGTATGAAATGAAGCCTGCGGCAACATTAATAACAGGAAAATTAATACAATGCTTAATTAACCACCGCCACCTTGGCGCCATTTACATTCGGCATTTCCCTCGTCCTGCTTGCTCGACTTAAATGATTGTGGGCCATACACGCCAGTTAACCGTGTAAACATTCAAAACCTTTACACCAAACTGCCTCTTGTGAATGTACAAGAGTGAGAAATTATTGAATTTGCATAAGGCGGTAGTGACTGCAAAGACAAAGATTCACCATATAGCCTTTGTCTCGCTGGTTTTTATGTTTACACAACACACCAGATACTTATTTATGGCTGAGTCGACCTAGGGAAGGCCCAGGACCAGTTCAAATATTCTTTGCTGTTATTGCTCGCAAGCGGGAATTAAACTTGGGTCTCTGAGTTCGTAGTGCAGCAGTTCGCCAACTGCTGCGCTACCGCTCCCCGCACACACACGCGCACACAACGTTGGCTAAGTGGACGTGCAATAGTACTGATGTAAACGTGTGTTGTTTTCCTCGACAATTTTGTCTCCTGTTAATCCAGTGATGGAAACTTTCATAGACGAGCACCTGGAGAGGCTGAATGCGGAAATAAACAAGTACAACGCGCAGCTCCAGAGAGTCGCTCACCATGACCTCTTCGAAGCGTAAAGGAATTCCACTTCCGTGCGAGCGCTCGCGCACAGACAGCGAGGATCCCGTCCGAGGATATTGCGGCGTCTTAATTGTTTGGACCTTGTTCGATTTGACACGGAATCTCTTTTGTTAAATGTTATTCTAGATAAGGTCATTCTTAATGGACAACTTTCAATCTTTTACATTGTAACTCAGCAATAATCGCTATTTTCAGTAAGCGATGCTTTGCCCTTGGTTTTTTTGCTGCCAAATGCAAATGTGTTCTAAAGTACATCGCCCATCGTTGGAAAAGCTACAAACGCTAAATTTCCCAAAATCAGGAGGTTTTTGGGAACCGTTTTGTTTTCAACAAAAAAAGCCAGCACTGTCAACAGTGTGTGTAGTGATTTGCACAGATGTATTGTTCATTCTTACTTAGATGGGATTTCTTTTTTCCATTTAATCTTTTCCTCCACGAAAGCACGCACCCCATTGGGAAAATGTTGCAGTTTTCTTACGCACATTAACATAATCACTGCGGTTACGTGCATCATTTGTCTCCCCCTATAAAATTATTACATGTACACGTTGATTGTGTTATGCCTTCAAAAGTACATTCGTTGACGTTAACCAATCGCTACGCGAGCATATTTGGGTGTTTGTGCCATTCTTATGGCGCAAGGCTATAATTACGAAGGCTATACTCTGAACTGACGATTATAGTCTGCGTTTAGTTTACAGGAGGAGACAACGTTGATCAGTAGCTTCACCCTCAGGTTATTTGCGAATAATGATCAAATTTGGCAAAATGTGTACGCTGACGCCACCGAACGCGACTTGACTTTTTTTTATATAACTGCGGCATCTTTCAAGCCCATTGAGAAGCGGACGGCGCATATATGTTTTATTAATACAGCATCAGTATTAACCAGGGCAGCCGCTGCGCTTCGAACCGGCAACCTTTGCTACAAGTTGGCAAACTGCTTGGCTATGTCACCGCCTCCACATACACACACATGTGTACGTTCAATTAAAGAGTAAACCGGCATTGCTAGTTGCCCGTGAGTTGAGTTCAAACTGCACCGAGGTGAACCCAGCTGCATTATTTCAGAAGTAAAATCCACTTGAGTTTTGTCATAATACATGGGCTAATTGTACTTTAGCTACTTTGCATGCAGGTTAAGCAAACAATAGAACAATGGGCCATGATACTATTAAACTAAACTTTTTATTTTGCCAGATAAGGCCACCTTGAGCTTATCAGCTCTTTTTCAGAAGAGACCTGGCCACAAATTATACCTCAACGAAGTGGCTTATCACGTGGAATTTTATAGTAGTCAAATACTCTAAACGCATGAGAATATGCAAACTCCAAATATACAGACGTCAGGGTCGGGATCAAACCCACGACCTGCATATCAGGCGAGGGAGTTAACATCTCGCCACTTTAGCTACTTTGCATACAGCTTAAGCAAACAATAGCACAATGGGCTATCAATATATACGATCCCCATATTTTTAAAAATTATGACGTCATCATAAGCTCATATAGAAATATTAATTTATATTTGCGCAAGTCAACCTGTCGTCAGGCAGAAAACTAAAGATCACACTTGTGGAATATTACACGTGTATATAGCTATACAGCATTATAAATTATACTGAGAGCAAATTTATTATTAGTACACCAACAATGCATGCCAGATAGCAATGTGGAACTCAGTAAAGTCGTAGTAGGTACTCTACATTGAATGCCAATGTTTAAACGGTCTATATAGAACAGCGTTTAATGGGATTTAAATTTACAAAGACCTTTCTGTAACATACAATACAACTGCTTTTTTATGAGGCTGCCAATTCATTTTACAACGCCGTTTAGGAGGTAGAACGTTCGTTCGTTGTCCTGACGTTTGCTAGAGGTGCAAACGCCACGGTGTTAGCCGATTCCCTTCTTCAAACCACTCTCAGTGTGCTTGGAAACCTTTCTCGCACTTCTGAAAATGCTGCGGTGGGGGGAAGGGCATTGCTACCGTGTCGCAAACTTTCCCACATCCTGGGTGAAATGTGTGCACGTTTTGCCTTTCCAAAGTGTCGCAGTAGTGCACAGCTGTGAAGCAGTGTGGGGTTCCCTTCAGGTTCCCCAGGTGAGTTCTAAGGTAGCACGTGACGCCGAATCCTAGCCACGGCATATGGTGCGTGCGCTTACACTATAGGCATATGCTCTTAGATCAATATGTGGGTATCTAGTTGTGTGGCTGTAATTGCTAAGTTTCCAAGGCCAATAATTTTCTGTATTGATATAGGCAAAACTTATTTTGTCTGTTGAAAATTTATTTTAATAAGTTATCTCGAAATGGTGTTTAATGATGCAGGCGATATTCACAAAAAGAGAGGCCTAGTCCTGTCAATACCGGACCCTCCAGAGGGCCATGTGGCATTTGTGTCGATCCTATCATAGCCCCACACCCAGCCTCTTGTTGAGAATAAATGGTGCTGCTGCACTAAACTAGATGAGTGTATTTAACCTACTACTGAATAATAACATTACGCAGATTTTCCTTTTTAAGTGCTATTAATGAACACGCAGGTACGCGCGCAAAGGCAATTCTGCGATGCGAATGGCGGTTAAGTAAATAAAAATACGAGCGCAATTTCGCCTTACGATGACCGCGACGACTACTGTGGTGACTTTCGATGTGTACCTGAATGGTGAAATGGACAATGCGTTAAGTGTCTGTAAGAAGAACAGCCATAATTTACACTGCAAGTGCTATCGTAACGGATGGGCTCAGCGAAAATGGTCGTGGCATAATTTTTTGTTCGCAAACGCCACGCTAAAAAAAATAATCGAAGGTTTTGGAAAAACGGCGACAAGAATCTATGCCATTGCTGCACCAGACGCTCAATTTGTGATGCTCACGTTATCCTGTAGTCGGATGCCGACTTGCTGCTGTTAAAATGGAAGGATATGCAGATGAGTCGTAAATACACTTTAAATATAGACTGTGAACATTTAAAAGGGCAGCTTTTACTGACCGAGTCAAAATATGAAGCGCATGCGTGAACTTTAGCAATGACCTTTGCGTCCAGGTCAGATACAACCTGTATTATCTGTGTGTTTGAAAGGAACTAAACAGCAGACGATTGATCAATGTAACCATCAGACTGTTTATATACACGCGCTAGGCTGGGAACAAGTACATACCTGGGAGGCTGGCGGCTATGGAATGTGAGTGCAAGAGGCCCATTTAAGTGATATATTGAATGGCAAAGTGGGGCGTTCATATAGGTAGGATACGCCGATATAGAGACCCTACGAAATTATTTAAAAGTTTTGTAAAACGGAAAATCATTGGCCGTATAAAAGTACATTCTCCTTTAAACGATGTGCCAAAGTATCTTCTTTATGCAGCGTATCTGTTATAAACTGACTGCAAAACAAATTGTATAACACTGGTCACTAAAATGTGAATTTAAAAAGTCAACTGCGTAAGAGTTTAATACATTTGGCGTTGCGTTGCGCAGTTAAATACATTGTACGGATCATCTCTGATGAACGAACACGGTACCAAAAATGATGTAAGCCTTATTAATCCAGTACAGCATGCATGCAGCAGCTTACATTTAAGCCATGGACAGGAAGTTACGGTTATATAAGCAGTGGTGTTGCCTTATGAAGAATGGTAAAAACTGCTATTTCTGCGAAAGTGCATTTTTGTCCTCTGGCTCATATCTCATTTGCGGGATTTATGAATGTCTTCAAAATTAGTCTAAATAATTGCCTTTGATCTTCGTTTAACGTACTGCACATTTCTGTAAACGTTATCGTTAAATACGAAGTCCTTAATTTTATTGGGAGTTATCTACGCATAACTTATTTATGCTCATCCATAGATTAGCTTTATAATCCCACAAGCATGGCACGTGAAGATGTCCATATTTTAATCTTCAGAACTTGATCCAACTCCATGTCCATGTCGGTGATGGAAATGCTCAACAAAATATTTTAAGAGCACCTGAAAACGTTGTCTTAGTAATGCTTCTAAACGGAGCGGCAAATTGTCAATTTAAAACATGCCTTAGAATTGTTTAATATTGTCTAGAAGCTATTGGAATAATATGGATGGGATGTAGAATGAGCTGAGATTAAAAAGACTGTCACCCGATTGTAGCCAGATCATTGATTGGGCCAGTTTTTTTATTGCTAAATATAGGGATGGTTAGTTGAGGTTTTGCAGATATACTTGCAAAATTACTAATTGTGCACTTATTGAAATTGAACATTGCCCAACTTTAATTCGTTTAAGTTTGAAATAACATTCTAAAAATACTGTACCTTTACATCCCTCGAGCGATGACTTATTAGTGAACTTTGTCCCCTTGCCAGGAGTGATGGAAAACGTGCAGTCTTTTATTGAGATTACCTTTGTTCCTTATCCTGATCTTGTAGCTCCGCAGTGCTCCCTGCTTCCATCGACACAACCTCGGGTAGAGGGGGGCCATCTCCTAACACTTGAAACACTCACGTGGTCTGTGTACCGTACGTTCCAGAGAAGTGTGTGTGTACAAAAAAAAACAACACACTCATTTGATGTTGTCGTCACGACTCTTCCGACAGTGGCCGGCATCGATTGGTCGGTCATCGGTTCTTCCCTCGCCACGAGATCCCTCGATGACAGCGCTGGCTCGATACGAAGCAATGCTGTGTATTCATCATCTTTGTGTTTTGTGTCGGGACAGGGATAGTATTCTCTTGAGTCCCGGTTGCAACAGTCATGACTTGCTTTTAGCCAGTTCTAATAGCACGCATGCTTTGCGGCAGCGAAGGTTTTCGAAGACTGTGAAACGATTGCTATATTTTTTCTTTGTTTGCACTGGAGAAAAAAAACACATAACATTTCAACCTCATGTTAATGGGCTCTTCCATTTATTTTTGGTATCTGAATATATTTTAGACACTTTTGTAAAAAAAATCTCAAGTATTGAATACCTATTATTTCAAGAAACAGATACGCACATTTTGGTAAAGAATTGTAAACGTTTCGAGCAAAACTATAAATGTGATAAATACCAACTATATAAAGCGGCTACTATGGCTTAAATGCAACTGTTCTGTGTTGTGATTTGTGTTGATGTTTTGCATTTTTACCAATTACCTTCATAACTGTTCTTTCATGTGCCTGCTCTTATTCCAGTTGTTCAAGTGCACGTGAAATAGGAAGTGAATAGGTAAACACACTCGTCTGTATACCACGTTGTTTTATTGTATACTCTTAATTCAAACAGTGGATGTTTCCATGAACAATTTCAATCCCGTACAGCACCTAACTTACAAGTCCATGTTACAAAAAAAATATATACATAAATTAACAGTATGAAAAATGAAGTTAATATTTAACACTCAGGAAGGCAATGTGACACAACCTGTCGAAGGAAATTGTGGTCGAACTCGGATGTTTCCAAAACGAAAGAAGAGTGGCAACTCTGGCTTTTCGTCACGGAAACACGGGGCAGAGGACACGGCACTCCTCTGCCCCGTGTCCAGTGGGTGCTGGTTGAGGCAGTAGACCTTTCATTTAATGTTACGTGCGCACACAATAATTACTTTCATTAAAAATAACAACGGTGTCACTTCAAAATGAGAGCATTGTTTTTTTTTCCTTCTTGTACGCGTAAGTGCTTGTCACTTCATTTTTTGTTTGTGCGGTGATGAACACGTGGCACGCCCCCAGCATTCCGTGAATAGAGTATTTGGTGGCGCATAAAACCATGCATCTTTTGACAACCTTTTGCTACGCTGCCCCCACTGCTCAAGGATCAAACGCCTGCATTTCACACGTGCCGTCTCACGCGTGAACGTTTTCTGTGCTGAAATCCAAGTGGATTTAACATTCCACGTGCCAGTGTTTTTTAGGTTTGTTTGTTTTTTTTGGCCAAAATCAAGAAAAAAACACAACGGGAGTTAACTTAGAGAAGATGGCTTTCATCAGCCACTTCAGCACCGATTGCAAGATCGCCGTTATTGTCTTGGGGTTGCGACGATTCGACCGCCCGGCTATTCGACGCAAGTCAGGGATGCGATCCAATTCAACCGTGTCAGATGCTATCGTTTTTTTTTCTCTTTATGATCGGCTTTTACAGTTCTGGTTTCCGCCCATTAGCTTAAATGAGAGCGTATAATTTCCATGAATCAGAAAACATTGATTCTCGACGTTTGAGCCTCAAGAATCTATTTACCTATGAATCGAAATGCATCATTACACCTGGAGTATCTTCCTTAAGTATCCAAGCATTCACGGTCATAGGTAGATGCCATCGCGTGCCCGACAGATAAGACACCTGCGAAATACGGATCGCTACGATTCCAAGATCTGCACTGGTACGGCGCTGAATCTGCTTTCAAGCTGTTGGTTTGCTCGTCTTAAGTGCGATGAATGGGGGAAAAAATGCAACCAGCAGCAAATTATTCATGTATGCTTACAGTATATATATTTTTTAACATGAAGGAATGTAGTTTTAAAACATCGTTGATAAGTGGCAAAACTAAGATGTCATGTAAACCAGTCCGCCATGCCTGCCTTTATAAATCATGACTAATGCCATTACGCCACACAGCCTGATATATTCTTCACAGCGCCCTTCGACATGCTCCACTCCCTTCTGATGGACTCCGCTCCACGTCTTGACACTGCCATAAATCCTCTTAGAACAAGCACGCTTCCTCAGGGCACGAGAGGTGAAAGTTAAAGGGGGCGGCCACGCCATGTATTGCTCCCGCCGCCACTGCTGCTGGTGGAAGGGCCTCTCCACTCCAGTCGTGCTGGAGAGTTCCTTTGAGAGCGTGTTTTGGCCTATCCTTCCACACTGGCCCGATTTCTTGGTAGATGCGGGAGTATACAAGCACGTTAATGGTGCTGTACCCATCTACACGCTGCCGGGGGGATAGAGGCGTGAGGATTGAGAACCTTTGTCTATCGTTTCAACTGCAGTGAGCAGGAGATCGAACCGGCGACCTCTGCATTGTACCTCTCGGCGTGCGAGAACCACGACAGCGTGGCAACAAGCTCGATACAAACCTGGGGATCACGCGCCTTCCCGCCCTACCCAAATATCCTTTGTTTTAAATGCACAGGTCCAACTCCCCCTACGCTACCCATACATTTTTTTTTAATTCGGTGAAATATTTCATAGCCCAATTTCAGTCGTTGGCACTGGCCAAGGTCATTTGCCACCCCCCCCCACCACCACCACCTGCGTCACTCGTGCCTCGTGGTGCCAGCGTGCACACGCGGCCCTCCTACAACGGGGGCTTCTCTGCTGGGACGAGGTGTGCTTTCCCCGGCGAAGCAGGAGATGGGCCCCGGTGTTTATTCCGGCTCGGCTGACAGGCACGAGGGCTCTACCCCCCGCGGTGTCGCGGGCTGCGTTGCCCCACGTGGGTTTCGCCGCTCTGCGAGCGGCACGTGAGGGAGGCGAGGAGCCAGAATCTGGCTCGACGTCCTCTCTCGTGGACGAGAGGTGATGATTGCGAGCAGCAACTTGTTAACTTCAAGAAGATATTTGATGCTGTGGCCCATAACGCACTTGAAGTCATTGATGTGGTCAAGTCTGAGCACCTGTCCATAAAAGGGTATCTCAGATTGTTTAATTTTCAGAACCACTATTTAGTGTCTATATCACTTATCTCTGATACTTTTCAAAGTATCGCTAAATGTTTTCAAACTCGATATTACGTACAGGGCACAATATTGTATTTAATGGCATATTGATTACTGAGCTGCAAAAATATATTAGGTTTGACTGGTTTACACAAGATTGTGTTTTGCAACAAGTCTAAAATTGAAATTCTATTTCCTCTTTCCTATAAACACATTTTATACAAATGGATCGTACCTACAGGTATCTGTATCTCGACCCTGAACATTGACAATCTTGTTAAAAAGTGCAGGCTTGATCTTGGATTCTATAGAATCAAGTGCTTCTTTGCCTTTCCTTCACATGTGGCATCAACTGTTCAAATAATTTTACTCACAATTGAGTATGCAACTATTGCCTATAAAACACCTTTCCAATGTGCTTTCAATGTACTAACTCACCTGGTTCCTGTCTATAACAGTGCAGCAAGATGTGTCCTTGAATATCCATTTCGAGAACACCCTTGCAACACGAGATACACTTTTTCATGGAAATTAATCGAATTCCACTGGTTAAGTTTTTATCCATAAAGGTTCACGGAGCAAAGTGCCTCCATATCTCTGCACATAACCTGATTTAGCTATCTTGCTCCCGTGCTCTCAGGTCAGTGATGTCTCTCTGCGAACACCACATTTGTCAAATCTGTCCTGGGGCCCCAGAGCTGTCTTTGACCGCGCATCGTCCAAGTGCAACCAATAAGATCCCAAAAGGAGACTGAATCAGTTCGTGTCTTGTAAAACGTTAACATGAGGTAAAACAAATATATCGTAATTTTTTTACGAAATAACTTATTTTTGGGCACTTCATATTACAACAATTTTATGCCTATTCTTGGTTCTTACGGTAAAGTCACGTAGAAGGGAAACAATAAAATAATAAAACAATAAAATTATCACGACGTTTCGACTGCAGTCGACTGCAGTCGGAACGTTGTGAGAATTTTATACCGAAAGAACCAAGAATATGAATCCCTGCAGTCACGAAAGCTTTAAATCAAAATTTTATACCTTTTGACATTTTATACCTTTATTATTTAACTTTCATTATTTTATTATAACGTCTAGTATTTACGTCTTAAACAGCACAGCATTATTTACTTGATTAACGACTCTCTATTTTGTAAATAGAGCAATTTTTTTCGCTGCTATCTGGCACAAGACCTAACTCAGAAATTAAATGGGATTCTCAAAAGTGTATTCCCGGTGAAAGTACAAGGGTGGGGTCCAAGTCATTCCTGGACTTTCGCTCACCGAAAAGAGTTTTAAACTCCTGGATCGTGGCCGCCCGGCTATTTCTTCCCCATCCACGCTACGCCACGTTTCCCACCCCGTGCACAAATGCCTCGATGCACAATGCCGCAACAGAAGAAGAGTCCCTCTCTCTCTCTCTGCTCCAACCATGTCGGGACACAGGTCTTCACTTCGTCATCTGATTGTAATGCCACCCATGTGCTCCTTCAGAGGGAGGACCAAACAGCAGATGGTCATCATTGGGAGCCAAACATTGTTAACAAACAAAAAAACATCGTCCCGCAACGAGACGTGGGTCGACCACCGCACTCAAAAGGATTCTGGGATGGAATAGAATTCGCACCGACGTCGTTTCACCAGAGGATGCAGCGTAGGGTGGAGGTCCTATGTCTTGCGACGCTACCTAGGCCCTTGAGAAGCACGCAGTTTAGTTGTTTGTAAGGAATACTGGCAGGCGGTGAGCACAGAGCGGAGTTGATTCAAAAGAAGGGAGCATGGCGACAGCCACCTAAGGATACTGAGCTCAATGTAAGTGCTAATGTCTCGTCTCTTTACTATTTAAAATATTAACTTAAACTGACCTTTGTCGTGCTACGTAAGTTCCAGCCCTGTTTCCTATTAGCCAGCTATGAAAACTTATATACTCTCTAGAATAGCAAATATATAACATCATTCAGGTTTTTTTTTTTTACTGACCACTCTAGCTTTTGGAATCCCGTACATTCAATTCTTAGTGCAAAAAGGTATACTTCTGTTACAAACTGTTCACATGTAGCTGAAGTCTACTTTTGGGCGATACTGCAAGATCATCGGGAAGGACTGTAAAAAGACAAACAAACATTGGGGTTAAAATATAGAACATACAAATCAATGGCGAGGTTACTTCATGCATTAATTCAATGCAGTCAAATATGAGCTTTGCCTTCATCATAAATACCAGCTGTTGGTATACGATGGTATTGAATACACACGTGGCTTATGTTGTTAACCATGCTTGATTTGGCTAATTGTGCTGAAGTGAATACTCAATCTGGACTAATGAAAATATCCAACGCTGGTCATATGTCTGCATGATAAATACGGTACGCCTATGAAAAAAAAACGTCTAAAAAAATTACATTCTTCACTGGAACACATTATAAATTACGAATTACAGAGACGCACACTTGATCAGTCATTCTCTCCGACATCTTTATGAAAAATCCAGGACACCTTTATACAACCATTATTGTACCGCGTTCTAACTTTATTCGAAAAACGACGGCGTGTTTGTCCCTTCCCGAATAAAGTTCGGGTATGAATCGCAATCGAGGCTGCCGAGAAGTCACCTGGTTTGTGAGAAGCGCGATTACATTTCAAACAGTGACGGCGCTGCGGAGCACAGCGTGGGCAGTACTTACGTCGCCTTCTTTAATTCTCCACCGGGTTCTGTAGATGAACTCCATAGTGTGGTCTTTGCCCATGATCTCTCCGTTGCACAGGACGTCCAGCTAAGGCACGCGCACACACGTCACCCACCGTTCTCGCCCCGTTCAATCCGGCCTCGCGCCCGTGCGGTGTAAAGAGGCCCGTACTTGTGGTCTGGTGTGCGCGCCGCGTTGCGTTTCGTTCGGATGCGGTGCCACTTGCCTCGTAATTGCTGGGAAGTTTCAGTTTGAAACTCAGGAACTTTTTTATGGTCCCAACAGTCACCCGCTTGGAGCATTTTATGAAGCGCTTCATCAGGCTCTATGCACACAAACGACAGTGGCGGGCATTCGAAGAATACTGGAGATTTCACAAACTGTCAACAGCAGATGCCAAATCTCCATTGTGTTCGGACAGTACTTCTGAAACAGCGGTGTGCGTCTTACTGTCTCTCTCGTCGATCAGGTCACTGGGGTTACCCATTTATACTGCTGAGTGGGCAGAAGCAGGGGGATTTTTCGTAAACTCGATGAAAATTCCAGGCAAACCAACTGCGAATGATACATTGAGGCTCACGAAGCAAACGCAATTGCAAAACTGGCATCGAAAAATGTGAAACATTGCAAACGAAGGCCAAAAATAAAGTGCATTCTCAACTCAATTTAGAACCCCATTTGGGGGGGGGGGGGGGGGGGAGTCAATTGTTCCGTGCCTAAGTTCTACTTCAATAAACAGCAGTTATTCCAACAACAACAACAAAAGCAAATGGGAAAGACAAGATAATCCCTCTCAACACTGGGGGCTGCAGTGGGTGCCGCCACCTCGACAGCAGTGTCGCCCCCTTGCCCATTGCTGCGCAGGCAGTCGAGGAAGATGGCGATCTGCGGGTCGCTCCGGTGGAAGTCTCCGTTTCCACACGGACCGTCGTCCTCCAGCTTCAGCCTCTTGGGCCTGTTCTCTTCATCTGCGAGGGCGGCACAGAGCGGGCTCCGTTACAGTGAAGAACCTGACACACCGACGGCTCACTCGTTTCCTTCGACCACCACGACCACCACCACCACTCACTTGCTGCTCGGCGCAATTGAGTTTACACCAGATGAGCCAATCGCCCCGGAGGGTGAACCCGTTGAAAGGGGCGGCGTACGAACACTAATGGGAAGCAATGACGGAGCACCGCGTTGACCAAACTTTAAACGAGAGTAAAACGCAAAACGGTACGAGCAGTAATTTGGCCTGCTTGTGCAAATCCGCTCGAGCACCCGCTGTGTATATCGGAGAAAGGCTGCGACGCCCATTCGTTAACATTACGAACCGTTTCTACAACACTGTTTGACTTCATCGTACGAAGCGCTGTGGTGGAAATGGTTTGCCCAGAGGCGGCTCTAGAAACTTCCCAGGCGGTGGCGGTCCCAAAATTTCAGGCTTTTTAAATGGGGCCCAACATTGATAAAATAAAATAAAAACAATCAACGTATTTACTGATGTTTGCGGTAAATGTCAATGAAACACATTTTCAGGGTCTCAGGAGGAGTGGGGGGGGGGGCATCATCTCCATCGCCCCCCCCCCCCCCAAAGCTGCCACTGTTTTCACCTGCTCCAGCTAGGGTCTTCACCCCATGCCTTCACAGAGAGGTCACCCCACTATTAACATTGGCCACTTAGGTGTTTCAGGAATGTCAATATTCACTTAAAAGTGCCCACTGCTCAGCCATTAAAAACACGACGATAATCTCGCAGTATTTGTATTTTTTCCTTCATTTTGAAAAGGGAAATATGGTGGTGATTGCAGGAATATTTACCGTTCCGGTATTCTTGATTTCTCTGCGCATTCCAAAAGTCACGTTCTCTCTTTTCTTCACCTGAAAAATAAATATAAGTTAAGGATCACACGTATATTTTAACTAATGTACTCAACTCCACGTAACTTATCGCTTTCAGAAACATACTGGACATTTGAAATGACACGTGGGTATATTGAGATGCTCTTTGGTTCTTTCGGTAAAGTCACGTAGTTAGAAATAAAATCAAATAAATCACGACGTTTCGATCGCAACACAAGCGGTCGCCTGTTTTATTTAATTTTATTTCTACCCACATGACTTTACCAAAAGAACCAAAGAGTATGGATTCCTGCAGTCACGAAAGCTTCAAATCAAGATTATATTGAGATGATTTTCAACTTACACTCTCTCAGGCCAGGGATAAGTTTGAAGATTATTTCCTCCAAAGTCTTGTCCTGCCTGAAGTCAATCAAACGAAGAGCTTTTAAATAAACAGCATCCCACCACATGTTGAGCCTTGCTTGTCTGTGACATTCCGTCCATTTTTATTGTGTGAGCACATACGTACATTTATATTACTCATGGGTTGGAACTGTGGTTAGCACACCGCACTACGAATACAGACCACAGCTAACATTAGTGACGATTTATATGAGTACCAGCTAGTGACGATTGATATCTGTACCAGTCCTGCGGCCCCTCACAACCCTTTAGCAGCAAGCACAGCGAAGTATGAACATACAACACCCACGGTGGCGTAGGAACGCCTTTGTGAAAGCAGTGGAGTTACAGAGCGCGGGAGTATTATTTATCACATTTCAATTCGGACGGCCCCTCTTTGAAGGTTCGCTGTGAACGCAAACAATCTAGTAATCATCAACTGAGGGGAAACCTTAAAAAAAAATAGCCGGCTTATCGATCAGTAACCGTCAAAAGGCAAACACCGCTCCAGCTCCTGAACGGAATATGACGGGCACGGTCTAAAATCATCCCGAGGGAGGCGTGTGACGGCACGCCTCTCGGCTGGAGACGGGACGACGCCGCGGCACCAAGCTGGAGCGGCGAGAGGCACGCCAACGCGGCGCGCGCTTTCTGACCTCAACATTTCCAGAGGGTTGGTCTCGTGCACCTGGATGCCACACTTGGGACATTCGTTGCTCTCTTCAAAGTGCTGCACAATGCAGCTCTTGCAGACTGGGGATGAGACCGGGAGAGAGGGGGGGCATCGTTATTTGTCATAAGCACACGCGCTTTGGTCAGGGGGGGGGGGGGGCGAGGGAGCTGTTGCGCAGTGGTTAGCTACGCTACCGACCTGGCGACTCTGGGTTCGATTCCCAGCGTGTGGTGTATAAACAACAGGAATGGGGAAATCGTGGTGCCGGCCATACCGCCACCTCGTGCGGCCGTACAGACCTTAATGGGTTCTCGCTAACAGCGTACAGACCTTAATGGGTTCTCGCTAACAGCGTACAGACCTTAATGGGTTCTCGCTAACAGCGTACAGACCTTAATGGGTTCTCGCTAACAGCGTACTGACCTTAATGGGTTCTCGCTAACAGCGTACAGACCTTAATGGGTTCTCGCTAACAGCGTACAGACCTTAATGGGTTCTCGCTAACGGCGCTTGACCAAACCAATTTATGACTAAAATGCACGGTGGTTAGCTGCGCCACCTCCAGATTATTGTCGTCTACTCGACCAAGACCGACCAACGTAAAAACAAGTAAGTGAATGTTGAGTGAGCGAACACGGTTTGGCAGTCGGTCCCTCCCAGTCGTTGCGTGACCATTCCTGGCGGAGTCGTGCGGAGACGCGGTGGGTAGATGCGGTGAGGGTCGCTGCCGGCCGTGGGCACGCGGCACTCACAGGTGTGCAGACACTCGGTGACGGCCGTCGGCTTGATGAGGTATCCCCGGCACAGGGAGCACGTCACGAACGGGTTCAGGTCCCGGGCGCGCGCTCGCCGCACCGTCGCCATCGCCACCGCCACCATGCAATGCCGGAGCCCAGGTGTCGTGGGAGTTTTATAAAATAAATAAATGTGTTGCCAGTGGTGACGACAGCAACAACGAATTAAAGAGGTGGTGACGAGGAAATAATCTTTTTTGCCATGCACGTCCTTGAGATATCTGCTCTCCCGTGAAAGATTTAGCTGTTGCTGATTTTGGGAAATCTCATTTTCACCTCTGCAGGAGACCAGAGGGCCAGCTGGATGCTGAAGGCTGTGGGACAATGGAGAGAAGTGCAGGTTGGTTAACGCGGTTAATTTGCGGACGAGCTACCTGTAAACATGTCGAAAGCAACGCAAGTCAGATGTCCGCTTCTTTTTTTGTTGCATACATAAGTGACAATTTAATTTCCAGTAAAATGAATTTCCTGGAGTTTCTGTAAAAGAACGTTCTTACATAAGTGTAACTATCCGCTTGCTGGTTCAGCACTCGGTGGGTACCGTCGTGACATCACACTGGCTGCACCGTGCAACAACAAAGTTTTGCCAAAGACCGACAACTGTACGCCCATGCCAATTTCTTCAGTAATACCGAATGCAATTTTCTTCACAATGGTTCGTTACCGAAGCTCACCAGCAGCATTTTTGGAGAACTTCCCCATTGTGTAGAAGTGCTTTAACGACACCTCGTGTCATTTCATTAATAAATCGGCACGTAAATTTCCCACAGCAGAGGCAGCTCCGAGTTTGGAATTTTTTTTAATTTGTTCCGTTCATGTATGAATGAGGAAATTGCCACTTTTTGATCCAATCGCTGGAAATTCATTCAGTGGAAAAAGTGACGCTCGCAAGCTGCTCAAAGTTCAGTCCGAATCGTTTAAGCGTAAAACGTCAATATCCTTACATCGGCGCACATCCGGCACAATTAGGGGAGCGTGTGGGCGGGCGGGCGGTCAGGTGGTGGGGATGGGAAGTGACATAGCTAGCTCTCCAATGCGTTTTCGGGTTGTTCGGCGAGATTTCTTGACCGTTTGCTCCACGTGTTGGGAGCTGCTCGAGGAAATCTAATCGTAGAGGCTTCCAGCGCGTGCAGCGAAACGTCGGGCATCATGCCGAACGACCGGCGTTCCGACCCGACATCGCGTACGGAGATCCGTACGGCAGGAGCACGAATGAAACAGGATTTCTCCACAAGTCTGGCTGTCGCCTGATAAGGCTGGTTGTAATTACTGACCAAACGTCATACTCGGATTGTAAATGTTGCGGGTTTACTCTCCAACACACCGGTGTGCTGACCTAGTAACGAATTCCAACGTTTTGTTTAACTACAAAAATCTTACGAATTGGCTGTGTCGGGTGGTGGCAGGTTTAACGAGACATTTAAATTTCTGCGATCTAACCCAAAAAAAAGTCAATATTGTGGATATTGGTCGCAAAAGCCTACGTGTTAAACTCACGAAAGACTGCGCGGTACAGAGCAGCATGATTACAAATTGATAAAAAAAAGCTCCTCCAGCATCGATGCTGATGAGTCACACCTAAGCAAGCAGATGACTGATGACTTGCATCAGCCGTACCAGTCACTTTCCCAGGACACGTGCGTACTTGTTAAGGAGAACGTCCAAGAGCCAGTTCGGAGAGCTACTTAACGATGCCGTGGCAGCATTCTGAATAATTAAGTGAGGTCACGTGATATGAGCCATATCTGAGATACTGTCATGGCATCATTGGCAGGTCTGTGATTTCTTTCCAAGAAGGCAGTCGTACCCACGTGATGATGACAAAGTCACCCCTCGCCAAGTATTTCCCCCCCCCGTCCCTAAGGGTAGTAGCATTAAGAGTGGGAAAGTGGCGTACATTTAGACTCGATCCGCTGTAATTGATCCTGAAACATCTCTCGAGAGTGGTCGTGTCAAAGATCACACCTGTGCCCCGTTTTTGGAGGCCCAAGTTCAGCCACAAGAATTCCGAGCATCAGAAACATTCACTATTATTAACCCGAGGAGTGACATTTTATTTTTAAGCCACCTCTGCACGCGTTCCATTTGTTGTGTTTTACGAGTTCAAATCCCGAAGCTATGTTTTGTTTTAATATAAGAAAACGCCCGTGATTCGGTTGTTTATTACAGTTGTTTTTATTATGTATGGCATACTGCATACTATTTGGGGTGGAGTGGTGGCGCAGTGGTGAGAACACTCGGCTATGAACCTGGCTACCCGAGTTCGAATTATGGCAACAGCTGACATCAGTGGCGAGTATAGTCTGAACAGAAGCCTGCCCCTGCACTCCTTCACCAATCAGCACTGCATGGTGATGGTAAAACAACCCCTGAAACCGATATGTTGTCCATTGACCCTCATCCAGCAGTGGATTGACAAGGGGCTGTCAATTATTCAATGTTAACAAAAACATATTTGTCAACAACACTGTGGCCTTTAAAAAAGATGGATATACAAATAGGTGACGTTTCGTGCAATGGCTCTTCTTCATATATACCAATGTATTATCGCTACACGTATAATTCGTGCATGTGTATCATAGGGGTATACGAAACCCGTTTTACAATTTATAACTCCAGAACTCTCTCATCCTTTCCATAACGCGTCTTGAGTTTTCCATTAGGCGCGAGATAAATTTAAATCGTTATCTGTGGCTCCAGAGAATACTTGCTGGCAGTGACTTCGAAATTCCCCAAGACATAACTGCACTCGCTCCTCCTGCACTGTAGCTCACTCCCAGGTTGGCACGGACATGGGAGGACAACTCACGCGTGTTGGGCGTTTGACCTCTGTGCGTGAAACACACTGGTGCTGTCACGTCGGGGCTGCGATCATAACACACACGCGGTCATTACGGTAATTCCTTCAAACATAACGTATTACCTACTATCATCACCCACAAATGTCTGTCCGTCCCGCGCGTGACGTCACTATACATGAGGCCCACCCCCCACCCGTGTGACGTCACTACGAGGCCCACCCCCCTCCGCGCGTGACGTCACTACGAGGCCCACCCCCCCCTCCGCGCGTGACGTCACTACGAGGCACCACCCCGCCATGAGTGAGTGGATTTTTACACTAACGCAGAGGAAGGTCGAGCTGAATTAAATCATTTATTACGCAAAGTCGCTTCAAAGATGATGTTTCTTTACACAAAGTGACGGTAAAAAATAAATCTACGCAGCACAGTGCTACATCCGTGCGTGACGTCACAGCAAAAGAGACCCCCCCCCGGCCCCTTCATTAATATTCATGCACGCGTGGAAATTTACACTAACGCACAAGGTCGTGCACTCCACATGCCGCACCCCTCCCCTCATTAATAATGAGCGGGTGACGTCACTTCACATGCCACACCCCTCCCCTCATTAATAATCATGAGCCGGTGACGTCACTCCACATGCCGCACCCCTCCCCAACAACCATTAGCGGGCGAGTGACGTCACTCCACATAGGGCAACCCCCCCCCCCCCTCATTAATAATCATGCGCTGAACAATTTTTCTATTGAATATTTCAGATTTACTGCAATATACACCCGTCCTTTGACGGGCAAAAAAAAACCTCGTAAAGTACACCAGGCAAGACGTTGTCTGCCATTCTTACGGGTTACGTACGCGTCTCTCTGGCCCTCGGGTTTCTCCGGCGGTGAAAGCAATGAATTTGTGTTTATCCACCGGCTTCCAAACTTGGCTTGAACGCCCCAATAATGAACCGGCTCAATCCGCGTGTCTGCGACGGGAAGGGAAATGACTCTCGTGAATATGATCCGACACGGACGACACCGCGAGTGTAAAGTCCATTCGGCACTCACCCTGTACTCTATAGACAGCCGGGGAAGACAGAATGTATGTTACTGGTAGGAACCTCCTGGTTACACCACCAGCCCACAGGGGATTATTGTGTCCGTCCGTCCGTCCGTCGTGCATCCAAAAATGGGAGGGGCTGGGTGGAGAGGGAGGGGCTGGTCACCCCGTGGTGCCCTTATAAAACTCAACGTTTAACCTACTCACGCCGGCTTGTGCCCGCCCTCACTGTCGGGCATATTTGCGGAATACACCACGTGGTGCCGCCGTTGTTGACCCTGGCCATTGACCGAGCAGCCCGACGTTCCTACCAGCTCCCTCCGCAGGAGAATGCGTTTACTAAAGGTGTTTGTGGCCGATCCGAATGGTACACCTTAAGTCTTTACTGCACCGTGTAACGTCTGTACAGCCGCGGGACATTCCTGAAATAAGAGTCAAGCAGATGCTTATTGGGCCCATCCTGGTGAAGCGAATACAACAAAATAAAATCGAATTCTCTCCTTGCGTAAGAAGAAGGCGGCGGCGGCGGAGACACATCGTCCACGAGTGCTCGATGCCCAATGTCAAGCCAGCAGAGGACTTCTTCAGGTCAGAGTTCGCGTGGTGGGAAGAACACCTCGCTTGCACGCCACGTGGTGGTGTCACAGTCTCTCTCCGCCGCTGTACTACCAAACGAACTACCATGACCCCGCAGACGAAGAGGAACGCGAAAGCACTCTTTAGTTTTCACGCCATCCCTTTAAACACAGCTGTTTAATGTGTCTGTTAGTGTATAATAGAGGCCTTTAGAAGCACCGCGCGCGAACTGGGCATCGACAGTAGCAGTAGCAGCAGCAGCAGAAAACAATAACAGCAACAACATACAGCAGCAAACAACAGCAACACACAGCAGCTGTAAACAACAACAGCAACAACACACAGCAACACACAGCAGCTGTAAACAACAGCAGCAAACAACAGCAACACACAGCAACAAACAACAGCAACACACAGCAGCAAACAACAGCAACACACAGCAGCAAACAGCAACAGCAGCAAACATCAGCAACAACGGCAGCAAACAACAGCAACAAGAGCAGCAGCTGTAAACAACAACAGCGCCACTAGCAATAACAGTTGCAACAGCAGTAGCAACAACAACAGCAAACAGCAGTAGCAACAACAAAAACAGCAGCAGTAGCAACAACAGCAGCAGTAGCAACAACAACAGCAGCAGCAACAACAGCAGCAGTAGCAACAACAGCAGCAGTATCAACAACAGCAGCAGTAGCAACAACAGCAGCAGTAGCAACAACAGCAGCAGTAGCAACAACAGCAGTAGCAGAAGTAACAACAGCAGTAGCAACAACAGCAGTAGCAACAACAACAGCAGCAACAGCAGCAGTAGCAACAACAATAGCAGCAGCAGTAGCAACAACAACAATAGCAGTAGCAACAACAACAGCAGCAGCAGCAGGAGGCTGTCGCGCTGTGAATCATCTGCTGCTGCTGCTGCTGGCGCCACACACGCGAGCTGTCACGCTGGCCCTGTCCGCACACTGTACGCTGTGTGTACAGTGTGTCTGTGTGTGTGTACACGTGTGTCTGTGTGTGTGTACACGTGTGTCTGTGTGTACACGTGTGTCTGTGTGTGTACACGTGTACCTGTCTGTGTGTGTACACGTGTGTGTGTACACGTGTGTCTGTGTGGTGTACACGTGTGTGTACACGTGTCTGTGTGTACACGTGTACCTGTCTGTGTGTACACGTGTCTGTGTGTGTGTACACGTGTCTGTGTGTGTGTGTGTACCTGTCTGTGTGTGTACATGTGTACCTGTCTGTGTGTGTCTGTGTGTGTACACGTGTGTCTGTCTGTGTACACGTGTGTCTGTGTGTGTACACGTGTCTGTGTGTGTGTACACGTGTGTCTGTCTGTGTACACGTGTGTCTGTGTGTGTACACGTGTCTGTGTGTGTGTACACGTGTCTGTGTGTGTACACGTGTGTCTGTGTGTACACGTGTAGCCACACGTATACACACAGAGCACACGTGTGGCTACACGTGGCTGTGTGTGTACACGTGTGCCTACACGTGTGTCTGTGTGTGTACACGTGTGTCTGTGTACACGTGTGCCTACACGTGTGTCTGTGTGTGTACGTGTGTGTGTACACGTGTGTCTGTGTGTGTACACGTGTGTCTGTGTGCTGCTGTCTTGCTGCTGCTGTTGTTATGTTGCACACGGAAGCGTTGAACTGCGGCCTAGATGCGAAACGCGCGTCTAGGAGGAACAGAACACGCGGTCCGCCAGCTGTCTGTGTGTGTACACGTGTCTGTGTGTACACGTGTGTCTCTGTGTGTACACGTGTCTGTGTGTGTACACGTGTGTCTGTGTGTGTGCACGTGTGTCTGTGTGTGTGCACGTGTGTCTGTGTGTGTACACGCTGGCGTATGTGTGTATTCTTACACAACATCCGTGTGTTGTGTCCCAACAGTCTGCTACACACGTGTATGTACACGTCTGTATGTGTGTGTACACGTGTCGTCTGTGGGCGTGTATGTAGGGGAGCGGTGGTGCAGCGGCTAGCGCACTGCGCACCTAACCCCAAGGCAACCCGAGTTCGATTCCTGCTCACGGCCAACACCAACAGCGACGATTATCTATACGGGTCCTGGGCCTCCCCTAGGTCGACTCGGCCTCAAATGAGTACCCGGTGCGGTGTGTATAAACATCGCCACTGGGGGGGGGGGGGGGAGGGGAGACAAAGGCGGCCCGGGCGTGGTGGTGCTGGCCACCCAAACCCCTCGTGTGCCGTGCCGGCCTTCACAGGCGCTGCTACTCGCTCATAGTCTGTCACGGCTATTACGTGGGGAAGCTTTGCCTGTGTGTACGTGTGTGTACGCGCACACAGTACAGTAACACGTGTATGTGTGTACGCGCACACAGTACAGTAACACGTGTGTGTGTACGCGCACACACGCACAGTAACACGTGTGTGTGTGTACGCGCACACAGTACAGTAACACGTGTGTGTACGCGCACACAGTACAGTAACACGTGTGTGTACGCGCACACACGTACAGTAACACGTGTGTGTACGCGCGCACACAGTACAGTAACACGTGTGTGTGTGTGTGTACGCGCACACACGTACAGTAACACGTGTGTACGTACACACACGTGCGTACGTACAGTAACACGTGTGCGCACATCCTTATCCGCTTGCGTCATGCGTGCCCCACGTCACCCCCTCCCCCCTCCCACGACTACCGCCGCGTTCCAACACGCGCAACAAAATGTTGTCCGCTGGCTCGTGCCAAAGCCACGTTCGTGCAACCCCGAGAGGAGAGAGACACAGAGAGAGAGAGAGAGGGGATCAAACACAACAACAACACACATGGCGAGAGTAGAGAGGAGCGGATAACGCGCGCGTACACAACAACAACACCAACACCACCACCACCCCCTCCACACACCCCAGACTCCTGGCTCGCTCCCTGCAGGCGAGAGAGCGGAGGGGAAGAACGAGAGAGGAGTGCGGGGTGGAACAGGGGGGGAGGGAGGGGGATAAGGGAGAGAGGCGACTTCCACAAAAGCTGATTCCAAGCTCCACCAAATCTACGCGTGACACTTACCCCGGGGGCAGCTAAAGTGTGGCTGGTAGTGGCGGTAGTGGTTGGTGGTGGTACTGTAGCAGCAGCAGCAGTGTTCGGCGTGTCCTGCTTTTCCCTCCCTCCCTGCCTGCCCCTCTCCCTCCCTGCCCCTCTCCCTTGTCAGTGACGGTGACGGTCAATTCTGTATGGCGCCGACGTCGATGTTTGGCGTGAACGCCGCACGCAACCGCGCGCTCGTCCGGCTCACGCGCGTCACGCTTCGTCTTCTCCCCCCTCCTCCTCTTCTCCTTCCTCCTCCTCCTCGCCCCGTGTCGCTCGCCAGCTCAGAGCGAGAGGGGCTCCCCCCACTCGAACTGACGCCAGCCGCCACTCGTGGCCTCGCCGGTGAACTGCAACGCGGGGCGCGAGGGGTGGGGGGCCCATCGACACGCAGCGCGCGCTCACTCACCACTACTCTCACTACTACTCACACTCACTACTACTCACACTCACTCACACTCACTACTACTCACTACTGCTCACACTCACTACTATTCAGACTCACTACTACTCGCACTCACTACTCACACTCACTACTACTCACTACTGCTCACACTCACTACTATTCAGACTCACTACTACTCACACTCACTACTCACACTCACTACTACTCACACTCACTACTACTCACTACTACTCACACTCACTACTCACACTCACTACTACTCACACTCACTACTCACACTCACTACTACTCACTACTGCTCACACTCACTACTATTCAGACTCACTACTACTCGCACTCACTACTCACACTCACTACTACTCACTACTGCTCACACTCACTACTATTCAGACTCACTACTACTCACACTCACTACTACTCACACTCACTACTACTCACTACTACTCACACTCACTACTCACACTCACTACTCACACTCACTACTACTCACACTCACTACTCACACTCACTACTACTCACTACTGCTCACACTCACTACTACTCACACTCACTACTCACACTCACTACTACTCACACTCACTACTACTCACACTCACTACTCACACTCACTACTACTCACACTCACTACTACTCACACTCACTACTACTCACTACTACTCACACTCACTACTCACACTCACTACTACTCACACTCACTACTCACACTCACTACTACTCACTACTGCTCACACTCACTACTACTCACACTCACTACTCACACTCACTACTACTCACACTCACTACTACTCACACTCACTACTCACACTCACTACTACTCACACTCACTACTCACACTCACTACTACTCACTACTGCTCACACTCACTACTATTCACACTCACTACTACTCACACTCACTACTATTCACACTCACTACTACTCACACTCACTACTACTCACACTCACTACTCACACTCACTACTACTCACCACTACTCACACTCACTACTCACACTCACTACTACTCACTACTATTCACACTCACTACTACTCACACTCACTACCACTCACTACTACTCACACTCACTACTACTCACACTCACTACTACTCACACTCACTACTACTCACTACTACTCACACTCACTACTATTCACACTCACTCACTACTCACACTCATTACCACTCACTACTACTCACACTCACTACTATTCACACTCACCACTACTCACACTCACTACTGCTCACACTCACTACTATTCACACTCACTACTACTCACTACTACTCACACTCACTCACTACTACTCACACTCACTCACTACTACTCACACTCACTACTACTCACTACTGCTCACACTCACTACTACTCACATTCACTACTCACACTCACTACTACTCACACTCACTACTCACACTCACAACTACTCACACTCACTACTACTCACACTCACTACTGCTCACACTACTCACACTCACTACTACTCACTACTGCTCACACTCACTACTCACACTCACTCACTACTCACACTCACTCACTACTCACACTCACTCACTACTCACACTCATTCACTACTACTCACACTCACTACTACTCACTACACTCACTACTCACACTCACTACTCACACTCACTACTACTCACTACTACTCACACTCACTACTCACACTCATTCACTACTCACACTCACTACTACTCACACTCACTACTCACACTCACCACTACTCACACTCACTACTACTCACTACTGCTCACACTCACTACTACTCACACTCACTACTACTCACTACTACTCACACTCACTACTACTCACTACTACTCACTACTACTCACACTCACCACTACTCACACTCACTACTACTCACACTCACTACGACTCACACTCACTACTACTCACACTCACTACTCACACTCACTACGACTCACTACTGCTCACACTTACTACTCACACTCACTCACTACTCACACTCATTCACTACTACTCACACTCAATCACTACTACTCACTACACTCACTCACTACTACTCACACTCACTACTCACACTCACTACTACTCACACTCACTACTCACACTCACTACTACTCACACTCAATACTCACACTCACTACTACTCACTACTGCTCACACTCACTACTCACTCACTACTCACACTCACTCACTACTACTCACTACACTCACTCACTACTACTCACACTCACTACTCACACTCACTACTACTCACACTCACCACTACTCACACTCACTACTACTCACTACTGCTCACACTCACTACTCACTCACTACTCACACTCATTCACTACTACTCACACTCACTACTACTCACTACACTCACTACTACTCACACTCACTACTCACACTCACTACTACTCACTACTGCTCACACTCACTACTCACTACGACTCACACTCACTACTCACACTCACTACGACTCACACTCACTACTCACACTCACTACTCACACTCTCTACTACTCACACTCACTACTACTCACACTCAATACTCACACTCACTACTACTCACACTCACTACTACTCACTACTGCTCACACTCACTACTCACACTCACTCACTACTCACACTCACTCACTACTGCTCACTACACTCACTCACTACTACTCACACTCACTACTACTCACACTCACTACTACTCACACTCACCACTACTCACACTCACTACTACTCACTACTGCTCACACTCACTACTCACACTCACTCACTATTCACACTCACTACTACTCACACTACTACTCACACTCACTACTACTCACACTCACTACTCACCACTACTCACACTCACTACTACTCACACTCACTACTCACACTCACTACTACTCACTACTACTCACACTCACTACTACTCACTCACTACTACTCACACTCACTACTACTCACTACACTCACTCACTACTACTCACACTCACTACTACTCACTACTACTCACACTCACTACTCACACTCACTCACTACTCACACTCACTACTACTCACACTCACTCACTACTCACACTCACTACTACTCACACTCACTCACTACTCACACTCATACACGGCTCACTGGCTCACACTCACTAATCACACGGCTCACACTCACATACACGGCTCACTCGCTCACACTCACACACGGCTCACACTCATCCACGGCTCACTCTCAATCATGCATAGACACAAACGCATGCGCGCTCGCACTTGTCCCTCTCACATACAAAAGGCGAGCATCCCCAGTATAGCCTTAACACACGTTTGGGGCAAGTGCTGTTAGCGAGCATCTATGAAGGCGGACACGGCACACCAAAGGGGTGGGTGGCCAGCTCCACGCCCGGCCGCCTTTGTCTCCCCAGTGACGTTGTTTACACACCACACCAGGTACTCATTTGAGGCTGAGTCGACCTAGGGGAGGAGGCCCAGGACCGGTTTCAGATAATCGTCACTGGTATTGGCCGTGTGCGGGACTCGAACGCGAGTCGACGGGTTCGTAGTGCAGAGCGTTAACCGTTGGACTCCCCACTTGAAATAAAAATATGCACACACTCATAAACAAATTCATTCCCACTCTCACTAAAAACACGCTCTCTGACTCACACCCAAACATTCGCTCTCACCCTCTCGCTCACAAACACGCCATCTCACTCTCACGCCGACTAAAAAAAACACACTCTCATCTCACTCCCTCTCACACGCGCTCTCAATCAAACACGTACGCGTTCACACTCACAAATAACATACACTCTCGTCAAACGTTCACTGACACTTTCTCAAACACATTCCAACACCCCCCCCCCCGTACTCCATCAGCCCATCTCAATGCAGCGTTGTGTCCGTGTGTCCCCCCCCCCTCCGGCCAAACGAGCTACTTGAATGGACATGCGGGGTTTTACGCGTAACCGCATCTTCGCCTGGCGGAGGAGCTCACCGATGGAACTATGTCCAGGTCTTTGAATGATCTGTGAGCTCACAGAATCCAGTTCGGTTAAACCCAGGATGGATGAATCATGGGTAGGCCAGCCTAAGTATGTCACGTCAACGCAGGTGTCCCTATAAAGTCTAAAGGTATCCATGATTTGCATTCAGGGAACAGAGGGCAAGATTGTGGTTGAGAACTGGTGCTTCGTGTGGAGAGACAGGCCAGGTAGTTTCCACGCGGCAATGTACAGGCCATGAAAAGAACGCCACTTGACTGATCCAAAAAGCTCTGGTGCCAAACCAGAGCTGACCATGAGCACCTGCCCCCAGGTATGGGAACTCCTCCACGCACTTTATCAATTGCCTTGTGCCTCTTGGTTTTCTGATATTTTTTGCTATTCAATATTTTCTTTGATAATGAACATTGCCTTTGAATGCTTACGTCGCAATTTTTTTTATAACTAGTTAATTTAATAAAAGTATAAGCATCGATGTTTAATTCCGATGTTTCAGTGCACACCGATATTTTCATGAGAAAATAAAATCGAGTGTTTGATGTATTTATATTTTTCATTCGATGTCCCTACCTCTGCACAACCGCACACCATGTAATCAGAGAGAGTCGAGCGGGTGGAGTTAATCTATGACAAAGCACCCAGGGAGGTGTTGTTTTCTGGTGGGGCTGGTGGTGGGGATCCCACTCTTTCGTGACACGCTCCAGGTCCAGCAGCAGTCTCCATTTAGGATACCGAAAAAACCAAAGAGTATAGGGAAATCATCGATACATCGGCGGTAAGTTTTGATGTTTTGGTTCTGATGCATCAATCTTTTGCACATTGATCTTGAGCCCTCCGATATCATTGGTAACATACATAGGAGTTTTTATTTCGTTGTTGAGTTTTTCACATTGGGATAAATAAAAAAAGCCAAATTATGCGAAATATCCCGCTGGCTGTTGGCCACCTAAAAACTGATCCCTCTCCAAACGTCGTTGGCAAGTACGGTGCATGCTTAATACATGCTTAATAATATAGGGGTTTTTGTGT